GTTGTTGATGTTGTTGATGTTGTTTGATGTTGCCCACTGCCACAGGGTATCCATATCCATACTGTTGCTGCTGCTGATGGTCAATGTAGCCCATCGGCAGAGGAGTATTGTTGTTTGATAAATAAGGTGAAGGGGAGGAGTAGTGCAGAGGCAGGGGGTTTGGTAACAGTGGCGGTGTGTTTGAGTTGCGCGGTACATGAGGTGGCGATGATGACTTGTTGTAGTACGGCCTCTGTTGTTGTTGTTGCTGATGTGGATGCAGGGGCTGAGGTTGCAGTGGCTGCATATGTTGTATCTGTTGTTGTTGTTGTTGATGTTGTTGTTGAGATGAGTAAAAGGGTGGCGAAGTATGTCTTAGTTGACTAACAAAGTTGGGCGAGTTCTTGTTGAGAGTGCTCTTCTTGTAGACCGGTGTCGATGGTGCTGAAGTAGAAGAGATCGTATTGTTGTTGTTGATTGATGAGGCAGAGGTAGTTGAGTCAATGCCACCACCGTTAGTGACATTAGTATCACTCAATGATGATGACGTCGATGTTGAGTCAACGCCACCTAGACCTAGTCCGCTGTCCAATAATGGGTCGATGCTGTCTTGGAATATCCTCTCGCGAGCCTTGTTGTAGGCGGCCTGCTTCTCCTCGAGTGTGACTGGTTGCTGTGACTTCTTGGAGCCGTTTCGGTCCAAAGAGTTGCTCGACGTATTTGATGGATTACGCTTCATAATCTTGAGTATTGGTGGTGTAGGTTGTTGAGGAGTCGCTATCATACTAGAGTCATCCTCTGCAGCAGCAGTAGGTGATGCTGTTCTATCTATGTTGTTGATGCTGTTGCTGCTGTGTCTGATGCTTGAACAACATTGGCAATCATTGATGTCCTGTGTGGTCGTGCTCCTCTCGACTGAGAGTGAGTCGACTTCAGCGGCCAGTGTATCTACACTGTCATCCTTGCCTTCATTCACTATATATTTCAACTTGTGTCCACAGTCTGCACAGATATCGCTCATTCTCTATCTCTCTCCTGGTCGACTCGTTGTGTCTTGTCCTGCCTCCAAATCAAGATGATTGACTTTGACTTCCTTCCAACAACCTACTACTATGGTTGCGAGTGAGTATACAGATACTAGTTGTATTTATATCTTTATGACTGTGAATGAATGAGTGAATGAAAGTAAATGCGCGAAACATCATAAAGTTCATTTTTTTGAATTTTTTGGGTTGCCACTCGTCTTGCCACCCGCCTGCTTGGACGCGGATGGCTGGGGCGCGACTGGCTTGGCAGACTTGGCTTGTTTGGACTTGGGCAGTGTGTTCAACACGGATATATAGGCCTCAGGTACATTGTAGCGCTGTTGCAGATACTCTACGACGCGATCAGTCTGATTGCCTTGTATCCTCACCACGACCTTGTTCTCCTTGCTCAGTGTCACTGTGATGCTGGATGCAAACACCTTCATGCCATCCTTGGCCAGCTCCTTCGTGCTGATGAAGAAGTGCTCCAGGTTCTTCACCTCGATCACCTTCTTGTTGGCCACCTGCTTGGCGTGAACCTCGATCTGCTTGAACAGGCTGTAGACGGTCTCGCCATCGTCGCGCTGTATCTCCATGAAGCGCGGCAGTAGTGACGCTCGGAACACTTGGTAGAACTGGTTCTTGGGCATCGACACGCCAATCTGTGCCTTGACCAGCTCGGCCGTCAGGCCATCCAGACGCATGCTGCTTGGCTGCGCGGGGTCGTCCAGCTGAGCTTGGCGAACGTACGCGACCAGCATGTCATTGATCTCCTTTATCTGGTAGTACGGCAGCAGTTCCATCTTGCCGGTGAAGTATACCTTGAGTGGCTTGGGCAGTTGGAAGCAGTCGCGTATCAACTTGATGCCAATCGTCGCGGCCTCATTGCTGCCGTACGTCGACTCTGAGTCTTCGGCATTGTCATCGTCCAACTTCTTCTGCTCGCCCACGACCTGGCCCATCTGGAACTCTTTGTACTCGCTGTGGCCGCGACCAATGCGCGTCACCATGATGTTTCCCTTGGTCGGTTCGTTAAAGTCGACCAGACCCTTCTTCTTCATGGCCTCAATCAGCTTGAGCACCTTCTTGTATGATGACTTGGCCAGGTTGATCTCGAATGTGTTGGCCGGTGCGTAGTACAACATATACTTGTTGAAGAATGTCTTGAGTGGCAGCGGCAGCTCACCGTCCTTCACTCCAAACTTGATCGCGCCCATGAAGCTATCAAACACAATCTTGTCCATCTCTTCCTTTGTCGCCGATGGTCCGGTCGCCGCTTCCTTCGCAGGAGTCTTCTCCTTTCTTCCCTTCTTTGTCTTTTTCTTGTTTGTTCGTTCTGTGTCACTCTCCTCATCATCGTCGTCTTCATCATTTTCATCATCATCGTCTTGATTGTCGTTTTCATTGTCATCATCGTCATCGTTGTCGTCTTGATCTTGATCATCCTCGTCGTCATGGTCCTCGATGGACACATTGTTCATTGCTTCATTGATTGTGTTGTTCGTTGTCGTTGTCGTGGTCGATGTTGTGGTCGTTGTCGCGACCTCAGTATCGGCATCAGCACCACGAGTGTCTTCTCCTCCTTCTTGTTCATTGGTGATTGGTTGTTCAATGATCATCTCCATCTCTTTGGTGCCATACTGCCACAGTGAATCATTGATGTAATGTATGAGTGAGACTACCTTTCCTTGCAAGGTAGCCCTGTCATTCTCAGTGTAGGGCAGTACAAATCCAACGGCAACAGGTGATCGTGAGCCTCTCAATGCAATCGATACAATCTTTCCCTCAGCAGGTACATCTCCAGGATTATGTATACCAGCAAACATCAAGTCTGCACCATTCGACAGATAGTTGAACACAGGAGGATAAATAGTGATCCTAATCAACATGTCAGGTATCTTACTAAGTGCGTATACTACATTCATTCATTCAATCACTCGTTAGTTATATGTCCATACACATCCATTCATTCAATCATTCAATCGCGATTCAATCATACTTGAGGGATAGAGTTGACCTTGATATTCAAAGAAGAGAGGGTCTCCACCTTGACAGTATAGAGTGATTGGAGGTTGTGAACCTTGTAACTTGACGACACCCAAGTCCTTCTTATTTGAAATCAACTCGTCCAATTGATCCATTGTTACAGCTGGTGCATAACAAAGTCTAATCTTCTCCTTCAACTTCTTCTTGTCAGAGCCACGCATCAGTGATTGCTGACCAACTGTAAACTGTTTCTTAAACAGGTTCTTCATTGTTAATGTATATATGTATATGTATATGTATACTATTTGTTGAAGTTTGAACAATATATGAATGTATGAATGAGTTAGCCAATGAAGCTAACTTCACACTTTGGTTTGAAGTCAAGTCTTGCGAATAATCTGACTTTAGTTTGAATGAAAGTGTACATTAATTAGAGATAAAGAGAGATAGAGAACAATGGATGGAGGTGATAAGAAGAAGATATTCTATGGCAGTATACAAGCTAACAAGATAACAACAAACAATAGTACAACAAAGAGAGATCAACCTGAACAACCTCAACCAAGTGAGTACAAGTACATGAATGACGATTGAATGAGCGACGACACAATACTAACTAACTGACTCCAATGAATGAATGAATATAGCATTCCTACCATTCTCAAAGCTTGCACAGGAATCACAACAGAGACAACAATCACAACATGATGAATATGAGAGGAAGAAGAAGGCAAAGCAGATAGTGGTGCCGACTAATGATGGTTCGGTTAGATTGAAGTTACGTGAATTAGGCGAACCGATTACATTGTTTGGTGAGAAGCCAGAGGATAGACGCGCAAGACTCAGACAGCTATGTATCGATAGGAATATAATAGATGCCACGCCAGAGGCTGAGAAACAGAGACAGGAGCAGCAACAGGATGAAGCAGATCAGCAAGAGGCGTTCTTGACAGAGGGCACCGACGAGCTGAAGAATGCACGCGAGGCAATCGCCATCTACTCGATGGGTCGCGCCAAGCTGCGATTGTCCGCGCTGAAACAGCAACACGAACAGGACGACATCATTGTGAAGGCAAACAGCGAGCAGCTCAACCCTGACCTGCTGCAAAAGACACCGAGCGAGCAGTTGCTGGAGCAAGTGGAGACCGATCTGCGAAGCTTCGTTCTGGCGATCAGTGAGATTGGAGACGATCGACAGCTGTCGTCCGTGGCATTCTCGCCCGATGCCAAGCTTGTTGCGACGGCCTCGTGGAGCGGACTGGCCAAGCTATGGGATGCTGACACAGCACAGGTTCAACAAACATTCACCGGACACTCAGAGCGCGTTGTAGGACTGGCCTACTACCCGCTGTCCGATCAATCGGCCACCGGTGTGACGCTGGCCACGGCCTCTGCGGACGGCACTGCCGCACTCTGGAGTTCTCAGTCTCCCTCGCCCATCGCCAAGCTGGAGGGTCACGCAGGCTCGGTGAACCGTGTGGCCTTTCACCCAATGGGCCGCCACCTATTGTCAACCGGCATCGACAGATCATGGCGACTATGGGACATCGAGTCCAATCAATGTCTGCTGGATCAAGAGGGCCACAGCGAGCCTGTGATGGGCATTGCCGTGCAGTGTGACGGAGCACTCGTAGCCACAGGCGCACAGGATGCACTGGTACGCGTCTGGGACCTGAGGAGCGGGCGACCTATTCACTACTTCCGCGGACATGCCAAGCAGGTCATCTCAGTGGACTGGTCGCCCAACGGCTACCAGCTGGCCAGTGGCTCAGAGGACAATACAGTGATCGTTTGGGATCTGAGGAAGAAGGAACAGACCTATCAGATACTGGCACATTCATCAATCGTCTCGTGCGTCCGATATGATAAGAGTCGCGCGGGATTCCTGGCCACATGCTCATTCGACAACACAGTGCGACTTTGGTCGCCCAATCAATGGAAGCCGATCACAGTGTTTGAAGGACATTCTTCCAAGGTGACCAGCGTCGATATATCAAATGATCACAGTAAGATAGTGTCTACATCATTCGACAAGACATGGAAGATATGGTCTAAATAAATGATCTAAATATATTGATGTAATGTATACATTGATGTTGCCTGCTGCTTCCTGCTTCAGATCACCATGTTCACTATGATCACTATGTTCAACAATACAACACCATCATGGTACATGCACTCTATTTATTGCTTCATAGCTGTCTGGTTGGAGGCATGTGATTCTATCTCTTGTCTATACACGTAATGATTGATCGAATGATTGAATGATTGAGTGAGTAGGCGAATGAATGAATGTGAGTGAATGGTGATGTCATACCTTAGTTGTTTGGAGAAGTCGTCATCTATCTGATCAGTGTCCCAGTCGTCCTCCCATTGCTCTTTGGAATCATTGTCATCATTAGCAGTATCAAGGTCTGTGTAATATTACAAGGATGTAATTAGTAATCTTTTTGATGAATGATCGATTTGAATGATTCATCATAATGATTGATGATACGTACTGTCTTCGAACTCTTCAAACTCATCATCCTCAATGATCTCGACCTCCTCCTTTGTCTGTGACTTTGACAGGTCGTCGAGAGTATCAACCTTCTTTATTGGCTTTACAGCAGCAGGTTTAAGATCAGTCTTCTTTGATGCCATTCTCTATCTATATCTATATATATATGTATATGTTATATTATCTGTTTATGTTTTATCTCTACAATCTAATTATGAAATGAAATTGGTGAAGTTGATGTTTCAAATGAGGTGGGGTGTCAAATTGATCAACATCACCAACACACTGAACACTCATTTCTTCAAATCATTGATAACAATCAATACAGATAATAAGTTATTGTATGATGAGATCATCGTTGATCAATCAATCAATCAATAATATAGAACTTCGTATAAAGCAGATGTTAATTGATCTATCAATTTGTCTGTTCATTCATATAAGTAAAGGTACCTTTAACAGAACTAACTTTGACCTGATTAGGCCACCTTGTGATGTGTGTTCAGTCCCCCCACGTGGGGGAGTGTGTTACTGCTCAACAAACAAGCGACCTTGAAGATGACAACACTAATGGAAGGGTAGTAAAGCACAATGAATGAATGAATGAATGAATGAATGATAAAGGGTGTAGTTTAATCCTGTATCATTCATCCTATTATCATTTACAACATTGTTATAACATAGATAGATAGATAATAATAATATAATAATTATTTATTCCAAAATCAATTCAAACAAATAAATGTCCGACACTGCAATTCATCCAGGTGATAAACCAGAATCATCATCCTCATCATCAGTATCATCAAATGTCGAAGTTGGTAAGTCATCATATTCATCATTGTAATAATATGATACACATTATTAATTAATCAATCAATCAATCAATCAATCATTCAAGGCAGTAAGAGGAGTGCTGCTGAAGAATGTCATGACATTGATGGAAAGGATTCCAAGAAGGTTAGGACTACTGAGGGAGAGGACTTTATCAATGAGATGACCAAACAGTTGGGTGAAGTGCCACACAAGGTCATTGAAACAACAATTCAAGCCATCAACTCTGGTGTCGAGTATGTCCAACATAGTCTACAGCCAATGATTGAAAGGAGCAAGGAGATTGGTGACAATATCCAACATGTTGCAGTCGATACCTACAACGCCACGTGCCGGAAGACCGAGGAGTTTAGAAAGGAGGTGCACGACAAGGCCGCCCACCTGCTGGAGGCCGCTGAGAAGAAGGCCAGCGACATCAACGCCAGTGTTAAACATTCGTTTGAGAATGCCAAGGAGTCCATCGTCGAGGGTGAGAAGAAGGCTGAGGATGCTGCCGAACAGATAATCGATGCATTGGACAAGTCGGCCGAAGAGGATGGCAAGAAGAAGGTGGTGGATGCAGTGGCAACAGAAGAGGTACCAAAGACATCATCATTGGAGAAGGAAACTGTTGCACCTCAAGGAGATGATGTGGCGGCCGAGTCACATGAAGAAGAGGCTGAGACCGAGGAGAATGCTGATTCCGAGAAGACATCTGCTGCTCCCAAGAAAGGTAGAGGTAAGGCCAGAAACTAACAATCAATCATACTTCCTTTTGGAATGGGACATTAAAGATTCAGTCCAGCTCGACATATGATCATTGTTTATTGCCTCAATCAATCGATCAAACGATCAGTTGTTGTCAGTCATTTGGCAGGAATCCAGCAAGATCCATAGTTCTCGCGTTTCTTTGCGGTGTCATTGTCTTTGATCAGTGACCATGTTCCATCACTCACAGAGTAGATGAAGTTCTTTCCAGAGCCGCCAAGGTACCCAACTCCAAATGATGGCACAAAGATCATTGGGCTGCATTGATCCAAGTCTTTAATGTCTGGATATGGAAGCAATTGTAATGTGGTCGCCTGTTTGTTAGACACGGAGTATCGTTTGAACGAGCGATTGGAGAGGATGTAGATGTTGTCGTCGCCATCGATACAACTGCCAAGGTAACCTTTTATCTCGCCATCTATGACATATTTTTGGACAAAGGTATTGAGGTTGAACGACCAGATGCCTCGTTCATAGTCAACTAAGTAGACGTGATCCTTGAGGTAGTGCAGCTGCATCCAATACAATGTATCTTCGGTGGTCTCTCCATCATTGTTGTTCATATGATCGATGGACTGAGGGTACTCCATGTTGGTGATGTGATTGATATCTTTGATCTCGTTGATGATATCATTGATTGTTGATTGCATGTTCTCCATCTGCTCATCAATGGGCTTCTTCACTCTATACTCCTGAGCCATGATCACCTTGATGAGTTGTTCAAAGTGACCCGTCATGTGTCCTTATCAATCGTTGATACGTCTTTGCACATTGTTGAAGTGTCATCCATAGATGGTTCAATCTTGGTGTACACCATGATACGTCAATTTTGTTGTTGTTATTCGATGTATCCATATCTATCTATTATCTCTTCTTCAAATGAATAAATGAATGTTTATTGTTTTGGAATCCAACATGCAGCATAATTCTCACGATCGTTTACAGGGTCATCGTCATTGACCAGTGACCATGTTTGATCCTTAATCGAATATCTATAGTTCTTGCCAGTGCCAAAGAGATGCATAATGTGTGCTCCAGAAGATGACTCAGGAACATAGATCATCGAGTAGTTTTTTGTGAGAGGATAGGTTACGTGAAGCGGTTGGCTTGGTATCGTGGTCATCTGATCAGTGGACAGCGAGTAACTCATGAATGATCTAGAAAGGATGTAGATTTTGTCATTGCCATCGAAACAACTTCCAAAAGAGCGTCCAGCTTGTCAACCAGTACTTTGGTGGCCAAAGTATTGACGTCAATTGATCGGACCCCAAACTCCCCTCCACCTACGATATAGATTCGATTGTTGAGGAAGAATGTAAACCTGGAGCACAATAACCTGGCATTCTCCACTTCAATCCTGCCAACACGTGTGAATTGCTGGGTGTCAATGTCGAAGCGGTCCAATCTCTTGAGGTACGCGCGGATATTTCTATTATACCCACCAATGATGTAGATGTACTTGTCTCCGTCGTAGCACAGTGATGTAGCATTACATTCATCAATTCCCGCAATGTCGGCTTTGTAACATTGCCTGTCGGCCAAAGAGTATCGAAGGAATTTGAATGGTACGAAGAAGCCTCCAAATACGTATATATTGTTGTGGGCGTAGATAACCGAATGGAATACTCCATGGAGGTTACCCTGGAGTGTATCACCAATCTCGGTCCATGTGTCGGAGTCTTTGGAGAAAAATGAGCATTGTTGTTGTTTCATTGATATGATGCCGCCTCGGATCGTCTCGACAACTCCAGGAGTATCTATGATTTGAAAGCACTCCTCGATTTGCTTCTTGATTCCATTGAGCTTATCAATGTCTGTATTGACGCGTCTCGCTCTCAGGAGCGCATCACCATCATCATAAGGTACATCGCGTGTATGTTGAGCGTGACGAGTGACCATTGACAACAACTCAATATCACCAAGTGCCAGACGCTTTCCAACAAATTGTCCATGCAATGAGATTGCATACTGATCGATCGTTGAGCATGTGGCGATTGATTGGATCACTTGGGACATTTCCACTTCATCACGATGACCAGTCTGGGCATGGTCATCACCACCAAAGTACTCAGGAGGATATGCCATATTGATCAAGTGATTAATATCTTTGATCTCTTTGATGATATCTTTGATTGTTGATTGTATCTTCTCCATCTGATCCTCAATAGGTTTCTTCACTCTATACTCCTGAGCCATGATCACCTTGATCAACTGTTCAAAGTGACCTGTCACTTCATCATATGTCTGTTTCAAAGATTGATAAGTCTTGGCACTGTGTTGTAGTGTCGTCCAGAGATGGTTCAATCTTGATGTACACCATATATCTTTGTTGTTGTTGTTATCATTATCATTAATCTTGGTCTTTAAACATTGTTGTCTAATATTCTCAATGTGATCCAACTTGTGACCATTGTGTCTCTGTACCGAGCATATTGCACAAACCATTTGATTACAATCGAAGCATATTATCTTTATCTTCTTTTTGTGTGTCTCACAAGATTGTACATCGTTGATATTAAGAAGTGCACTATACCAGTCCATATCTATCTCTATCTTACTAAACAGATACTTTTGAAAGTGAATGATCAACACAAAGTTGGATATTTTGTGGAAACTTGGAAAGCAAGGTGACCAAAGCTAAAGGTGTTGCTATTCATCTTGTTGTAGTTTACACAACTCATGGATTGAGTGATAGAGATAATAATGGATACATATAATAATAATCATATATGCTTAACTCATAATTTGAGGACTGAAGTGTTATGCTTCGATTGTAAACAGTTGATATGTTCAGTATGTTTGGTACAAAGTCATAATGGTCACAAGTTGGAACATGTCGTCAATATTAAACAGAGTCTCGAGAAGAAGGATGATAAATGGTGTACTCCAAGATTGAATCATTTATGGTATACTCTACAACAATGTGCTAAATCATATCAATCATTACATCAGACTTATGATGAGATCACCAATCACTTTGAACAACTGTTAAAGTTGATCATTGCTCAAGAACACCGTGTAAAGAAGCCAATTGATGAACAGATGGAGCATATTCAATCGACCATCAATGATATTATCAACGAGATCAAGGATACCAATAGGATGACCAACTTGGAGAAGCCTCAGTCCAACGATCACATGAACAATAATGAGGTGGACATGTCCCAGTTGGTCCAATCAATCATGTCATGTACATCGGTCCAACAGTTTATCAACAACAATACCAATGCATTGGATGTCAATGACATGACTGCCAAGATGAGTAGCTCGACACTAAGTGATGTTGACGTGCTGTCCATGATCAGTCGACACACTGATCACACCCGCGAGGTACCTTATGACGTTGATCTTCAAGTGCGTCGCATCGATACAGACATGGCCAAGCTCACGGACATCAAGAGGCAGATCGAGGAATGCTTTAAACTCACTATCGTGTCGTCCACCGAACTTGGTCAAGGCCCCGGCGAGTTTGATGGCTGCATCATGTCCGTGAGACTGGACGGCTGCTCATACTTGGAACTGGACGGTGCCAAGTGGACACAAATGAATGGAGCATTCGAGAGGCAACTTAGAGGCGTGTCAACGTCCGTGGTGTATGCACGTGGCAGTGTCTACGTGTTTGGTGGACTGGACGCCCCAACCAAATACACTCGCTACGCATTGGAGAACAAAAAGTGCATTCATGGAGACATCACTGGCATCAATGGTGGCGAGGGCATCGCGGCTTGTTATGATGGCGACAAGCTTATCTACCTTGTCGGTGGCTATGATGAGACCACCGACCGATACTTCAATCGAGTGGACACCTTCAACATTGAGACACAGCTGTTCCAGTGCGTTGGACACCTGCCAGTTAAACATGTGTTCATGGCACAAGCATACTTCCACAATGACCACCTCTTGGTCGTTGGCTCTGACATTGGAGTGGTCTCGTTGAATCCACAGACAGAGGTCTTTAGCCAGCTGGTCCCGCCACCCTCCAAGCCATACTTTGCCAGCTGCTTCGATGGCGAAGACAACATCTACATACTAAGCCATAGTCTGTTCACGAGGTACACGTTGTCAAGCAACAAGTCAACATCGCTGGCCAAGCTCAATGCAACAAGTGTATCGGCAATTGCACCATGTTATCCTATGCATTATGTGGAATCATATGGAATCATATACCTTGGTGGCAGGGGTAGGAACCATCGATATGCATTGAATGAAGGAAAATGGATAATGCTCAACGACAATGATCATGTACAAGACCGTGATTGCTTTGGTACATGTTTGATTAGCAAACAAAGACGTCGTTTGGTAAAGAGTAAGAGTACTCAAATGTGAAGTGATTAGTTAAATAATAAATGATCGTAGTGGATTCAAATACGTTAGGGCAAGGGCAAGGGCAAGGGCAAGGGCAAGGGTTAGGGCAAGGCAAGGGTTGGGGTTTGTTTCAAATCTCGCGCCTAAATTTTAATTTGAACTTTCAACTTCATCCAATCATTCATTCAAACAAATAATCATTCAGTTACGTCTTTCTAACGACTACATGTATAAATAGATACACAACATATATATATAATATAACATTGACAATGATGGATAATAGTTTTAATAATCCAAATATCACTGTTATACATCAACAGCAACAACAGCAACAGCAACAACAAGAAAAGAAGAGGACGATCACAACTTCAATCACATCAACGACTACAGGTTCAGCTCCGACTACAACTACATCATCATCAACATCATCATCAACATCATCAACAAGACATATGAATGGAACAAAGAAACCAGATCAACAACAACAACATGTTGGTGTAACAAAAGATAAAGAAAAGGAAAGGGACAAGGATCTGGATGATAGCATGTTGTCAGAGGAAGAGGAGATGAATGATACAATGTTCAACTTGTCACCACGTACATTGAGGAAGTTGAAGGAGCTCACATCACAGCCTGCCGAGTCCCAGCTACCATGGCTACAGAAACGCCAACACAAAGCAAACAAACGCAACATACCCGTTGCCAAGCTGCCCAACTGGGCTGCCTCACGTGCCTTCCAGAACAACGGATACCTCAGCAACAATGGATCACAATTCGAACAGAACAAGCCAGTATGTGTAACATTGATTGAATGAGTAATGCGCATACTCTAACACCGCATCACAGGGCAAGCATCAGACAACATCAAGTCCAGGTATCAATGCATTACCACCAACAGACATGGAACACTATTTGTTGGAGGATCTGCTTTATGTGATGGTGGGCATTGAGGGCACGCTGATATCAACGTCACAACGCCGAATCGAACAACAGATTGGAGACACGCACAGCACGCTGGTATCGTTCACAATCGAGCCAACGGTCGATCCGAGTGTCAGTCATGTGGTACAACGCATCCTGCCACTGGCCAGCTACTATGTCTACATTGCAGACTTTGTCAACTCGCGCCAGAACTTTGAGTGGGGCAAGGTCAATCAGGCGTTCTGCGAGGCGCTCTCACAGCTGCTGAAGGACTACCTCCAGATGATCACACAGCTCGAGGACCAGCTCAAGACCAGACAACTGACGCTACAACGCATGTGGTACTACATCCAGCCCACCTCCAAGATCTTTGAGATGCTCTACAAGCTCACATTCGAGGCGACCAAGTACAGCCTACACGGCGCACAGATACTCAATCTCCTCCTCAACAGTCTGGCAATCTTTGGAAGGTATGTGATCGAGTGATTGATTGAGTGATTGAGTGATTGAATGAGCGTGATCACTAACGCCCTGCCCATCCCCAGCGACCCAGCCTCAAAGGACTTGTATCACTTCTTGATTCAATACTCGTCGAGACCATTCTTGGAGATGTTGGAGTGCTGGCTGTACAAGGGCATTGTAGACGACCCTCATTGCGAGTTTATGATCGAGGAGAACATTGACTTGGTAAAGGAGAACATCAACAGAGACTACAATGACACGTATTGGGACAACAGGTACACGATACAAGAGTCGCAGGTGCCCAAGTTCCTCGAGAAGGATCGCAACAAGATCCTGCTGACGGGCAAGTACCTCAATGTGATCCGCGAATGCGGCCAGACACTGGTGTTCAATGGCGACGCCATCCAGTACTCGCCCAACGAGAAGCAGTACATCGAGAGGATCGACCGCGCCTACGACTTTGCCTCGTCCACGCTGCTCACGCTGATCAATGAGCGCCAGCTGATGGACCGTCTCAAGTCGCTCAAGTACTACTTCCTGCTGTGCAAGGGCGACTTCTTCTCGCACTTTATGGAGATCACGGCCGACGAGCTCAAGAAGCCGCTGTCTGAGATCAACGTGTTCAAGATGAACTCGCTTTTGCAGCTGTCACTGCGCACGTCCTCCATCTCGGAGAATGACTCCTTCAAGGACGACCTGGAATGCGAGTTCATGCCATTAACATTGCGCGAGCAATTGTTAAAGATCATTCATATTGATGATAAGAATGTAGTCATTGAGCAGCAGCAACAACAGAAGGGCAACAGCGCCAACACTAGCGCAACCAACACATCAACAATGTCAACGATATCAAACACACAACAATCATCATCGCCAGTTGCGCCACAGTCCAAGGAGTTGCTGGGCGTCGAGTCGCTGGCGTTCAGCTACAAGGTGAACTGGCCCCTATCATTGGTGATCAACAAGAAGTCTCTGGTGCGCTATCAGATCATATTTAGACATCTATTCCTGTGCAAGCATGTCGAGAAGTTGCTGGGCAACACATGGAACCAGCATCAAGAGTCTAGACGCTCGCATAGCCATCGTCCTGGCCTGGCCATGCTACTGTCCTACTCTCACTTTCTGCGCCACCGCATGATCCATTTCTTGCAGAACCTCGAGTACTACATGATGCTGGAAGTGTTGGAGCCCAATTGGATCAAAATGAGGAAGTCGATCAAGAGTGTAAGTTACAGTTTGAATGATTGATTGATGGGTGGACATGTGAACATGGACTAACATCACTTCCACAATTACACATCATAGTCCAAGACTGTGGACGAGGTGATCAAGGTGCACGATGACTTCCTCGAGACATGTTTGGCAGAGTGTATGCTCACCGACACGAGATTGGTTACAGTATGTAGTTGTGGACACGCTCCAAACGCACCATCATCATGGATACTAACTCATTGACTGACTCCACGAATATAGCTACTGATGAAGTTCATGTCTCTATGTATTATATTCTCCAAGTTCAACAGTGAGATGGTGTTTGAGGAGAACGAGATCAATGCCAGTGAAGCCGACAAGGTCAAGCGAACGATCGACAACTTTGAATCCAAGTTCCACAAGATATTGAAACTGTTGCTGAACACTCTAAAGTCATTCTCGACCATTGAGTCCAATCGCCATATGGTACATCTGATCAGACGACTGGACTACAACAACTACTACTCCACATACTTTGAACAGCAACAACAACAACAGATACAGCAACAACAACAACAACTACAACAGCAACAGCAACAGCAACAACTTCAACAACAAAGATTACAACAACAACAACAACAGCAACAACAACAGCAACAATATTATCAACAACAACAGCAACAACAACAACAACAGCAGCAACAGCAGTTGAGAAGTGTTGTACAGACTGGACAATCAGGTTTGGAGAGGAACTCGACAACAACAGGCCCCCAGCCACTATACACAAACAGGACACAGCAGCAGACAACCTCACCAAGCAAACAAATGACAATTGTCAACGGTATAACAAGGAGACAGAGCAGCAGTAGTGGTGGCAGCTCAAGGCTAACAACTGGCATCATTAGTGGCGGACTTCCTGTACAACAGCCATCTGGCATCAATCAAACAATGCCCACATATCGTCCATCAACAACTACAACCACCACAACAACAACTTCCACCTCCAACACAATCAACAACAACATCAACAACAATATCATGGGCATGTCCAATGACACGGCCACCTATCCACCTCGCTCCCCAAGTGCCAAAGACTTTACACAACGACTACTCGATATCAAACGTACCTACTCCAAGCAATAGGACGACGACAACGACGACGACGTCAATATACAATATACATTTAAAATGATATAATCAATGTTTATAACCTTTGACTATTGTTGTAGCTGTTGCTGTTTACAGCACTGCTTGGTTGTGGCTTGCTAAAGCTGTCCAAAGGCACTGGTTCATAACCAAGCTTCATTGGTGTTTGACCCTTGGCACGTGTGACCAAGTCACCTGCCACCTCTTTCGATGATTGATATCCATCTTGTAACCTGTCTCTGGCCATTGCACCATACTCCTTTGACACCATATATCCTCTATGTAAATGTGGTTGCATCGTATCATAAGCACCAGACAATGCACTCACTGAGCTACTATAAGCAGTGGATGCAGCTACATTCATTCAATCAAACAAATTAGTATGACAAGTCTGGTAGGCTGATGTACTTGGATACTTACACGTTTGTATCTTCTTCAATATACCATCTGGAATGAAGCTGGAAGTCAGTGAACAATCAAATAATCAATCAATCAACAAGGTACATACCGTCTCTCATTCTTTAATAATATTTAGTATTTATATAACAATCGGATTTAAATATAACTATAAAGTATACAACTTGTATTACTATTATTACAACATATATCTACACATCCATGTCTTGGAACAGACATCCAGTTTCCAGTTTGTCCACGAATCACATCCACATGCCAACCCTAACTGGGGTCGTGGTTGATGATGTGGATGTGTGTGTGTGTGAGTGTGTGTGCGAGGGTCGAGGGTAGGTCAATGGAGTCAATTAATTCCATTGGAAACATGATAGACAGAAGGATGGTGCCCTCCAATCGCAATGAATGAGTTGTGCTGTGACAGCATTGCCAGCGCCAGCAGGTACCATGAGTGGGATGAAGTGCTCCTCACGAGGATGTGCAAGTTGGAATGATGGTGCTGAACGGAACTTGAGAAGACGTTGTTGTCGATCCTCCCCATTTCCATCGGGTAGAGGAGCAGTCAATGTGGCTTGTATCCATGTCTCAAACTGTTTGATAGGGTGCTCATGCTGAGTCGCAGCACCACTGAACAACAGACGTAGATTGTGTAATGTACTGCCACTGCCAATGATCAACACTCCCTCATCTCTCAAGGGTTGTAACAATTGACCGACACGATAGTGTAGATCACCATCCAGATTGTGTTGCAGTGATAGTTGAACAATTGGTACATCAGCATTGGGATACATCATCTTTAGAATGGTCCATGCGCCATGATCCAATCCCTGCTTATCATCATGCTTCAAAGTGATATTACCATGTTTGAACAATCCATCCAATCTTGTTATGAGCTCCGGTGAAGTATTGGCAGTGTACTCCATCTGATACATCAACTCCTCAAACCCATAAAAGTCGTGAATAGGCTTAACATGTTTGCTACATTGATTGATTGATAGATTGATTGATCGATTGAATGAGTGAATGAGTGAGTTCGAGAACTAGTGAGGGTGAGTGAGCCATTCATACATACCCTGTTGTGATTGTGAACTCTTTGGCCTCCCAATGAGCAGAGACGATGAGGATTGCACGTGGCTTGGAATGAGCGGCGTTGGCTTGGTAGTTTGTCAGGAAGATTGTGGTCTTGTCCGTCTTGTCCAGGATCATATTGGGTGCACCATGATTGATGAATAATGTTGGAAATCTTTCGTTATGTATGGCCTCCATTGGATTGATAATACTAGTATTAATATAATAAAACGACACGTGATGCCACTTTATCTATCAGTCAGTTCTCTTTGTTCTCGATTTTGTTTGGTCTCTCCCTTTTTGAGGTCTTGTGTTGCAATGATTTTTTGATTGGTTCAAAATGTTCTGGAAGCACCTAATCCCCAGAACACCTTCAGGAATGTCCATCAACATTGCTTCGAGGGCACGCAACAGACATTCGGATCACCCAAGCAATCTGTTTGTCATTATTAACAACATACCTTATTTATTTAGTTCAATCAATAATAATAATTATAATTATTGATATATTTATTTGTTAATTGTGTTGAGGTTATAAACTTCTAGTTAAAATAGTTCTCATGAGAACTTTGATTGAGTTGGGTTGAGTTGAAGTCGAAGTTGTTGGGTCGTGTCTTGAAGACCCAAATAAGGTATCCAAATGGTCAACCAACCCAAGATTCAGATGTGGGCACTTGACTTTCATGAACTTGCATTACCCCCATGTCACTGACTCGAACAACACACTCTTCAATTACATCTTCACACGATTATGAACTAACATTGACTAAATGTTGACAATAACAACAAGAAGAGCATTATTATCTGTTAGACATATTTATAACAACATTAGAGCATATAGCAATAGTAGTAACATTAGTAATAATAATAATAATAAGATGCCAGGAAATGTACCAATAACAAAGAAGATTGATACTCTTCGACAGTTGATGAACAAGCATTCATACACTTGTTATGTGGTGCCAAGTGATGATGCTCATCAGAGTGAATATGTAACTGAGCATGATCAGCGTAGAGCATACATTAGTAACTTCACAGGTAGTGCTGGCACTGCTGTAATCACCACCGAACAATGCTATCTATGGACCGACGGTAGATATTGGCTTCAAGCATCACAACAGCTTGACCCATCATGGAAGGTCATGAAGGATCGTGTCGAAGGTGAGCCATCAATCGAGGAGTTTATATCAAAGGTATGTATACTTGTTTGATTGATTGATTGAATGAGCCAATGATACTTATACGTTCAATCGATTGATCAAATAGTCAATGCCTGCAACAACTATTGTTGGAATGGATAGCAGATTGATTTCAAAGGGTGCCTTTGAGAAGTTTAAGAAGACATTGGCAAAGGGACAGGAGGTTGTTACATCGGAGAACAACTTGATTGATCAGGTCAAGGAGGAGTTGAAGTCTTTGGAGCCAATGACCACTCAGCCAACTGATCCAATCTTCTTCCTGCCCGAGACATACTCTGGCAAGAGCAACACCGACAAGATCAAAGATGTCCAAGATCGCATGGCCAAAGAGAATGTTGACTACGTCGTCATCACTGCACTCGATGAGATTGCTTGTAAGTTGAGTTAATGATTGCGAGCGAAAGAACGAACGATTCTAACAATCATTCAATCATATTAGGGTTGTTCAACTTGAGAGGATCAGATGTATCTTATAACCCTGTATTCTTGTCGTACGCCATTGTTGGCAAATCATCAGCTCAATTGTTTGTCGAGGAGAGCAAGCTGTCGGCAGAGGTGAGGAAGAACCTTACTGGTATCCAAGTTGTGCCTTATGCCGACTTCTTCAAAACACTCAAGAGTTACTCAGACTCGAGGATTTGGTTGGACCCTAGAAGCAGCTTGGCTGTATTCAACTGCGTCAACAAGGACAACCTGTTTGAGCAGAGCAACCCAACACTGATGGCCAAGGCCATCAAGAACTCAACAGAGGCTGAGGGCTTCCGTCAGTGTCACATCCGCGATGGTGTGGCCCTGGTCCAGTTCCTCGCATGGATGGAGGAGGAGATGAACGTCAAGAACAACACTCAGCTGACCGAGTTCTCGGTGTCTGAAGTGCTCGAACAGTATCGCACCAAGCAGAAGGACTTTGTCAGTCTGTCATTCGCATCGATCTCCTCGATCGGCTCCAACGGCGCAATCATCCATTATAAGCCCGAGGAGGACACCTGCAAGAAGATCACCAAGGAGGTGTACCTGATCGACTCGGGCGGCCAGTACAAGGACGGCACCACCGACGTCACGAGAACCACTCACTACGGCACACCATCCCAACACGAGATCGACTGCTACACACGCGTACTCAAGGGACACATCCAGCTGTCGATCATCAAGTTCCCAGCAAAGGTCACTGGCAAGGACATTGATTGTGTGGCTCGCATTGCTTTGTGGCAGGCTGGATTGGACTATGCACACGGCACCGGCCATGGAGTTGGATCATTCCTGAACGTGCACGAGGGTCCACAAGGTATCTCGATGCGTCCAAACTCGACCATTCTCCATGCCAACATGACCATCACCAATGAGCCAGGTTACTACGAGGAGGGCAACTTTGGAATCAGGATTGAGAACATCATGCTCACGGTCCCCGTCGAGACACAGTTCAACAACAGCAAGTTCTTGGGATTCGAGTCGATCACAATGGTGCCCTACGAGCGCGACCTCATCAACGTGTCGATGTTGACCAACGATGAGTTGGCATTCGTCAATCACTACCACGAACAAGTACAGTCCAAGCTTGCGCCACACCTATCAAACGATCAACGTGCACTGGCCTACCTCCAGAAGAAGACAGCCAAGATTACTAGACAATAACAAACCATCCAGCAACTCTCATGTATTAGATATTAGACATTGGATATTGGATATTTGATTAGTTCATCCATTCAGTTGGAGTACCAGCATGCTCTGCTTTGATCTTTTGATTGTTGTATCCAAGACGCACGTTTGTTTGTGGGATGGTCACACCTCTGAACAGATTATTCAACTCATCATCATGATGCAAGGCACGGCCAATATGATTAGGAGTCTGATCACATGATTGGACATTGGGATTGAGTGAGTTAGAGATAAATTGATGATTGTTTGGGATATAAATGCCATACCAATCGTGTCTTTTTATCAACTTTGGCTTGCTCCAAGGACAGTCGAATGATAAGGTTCAGGAGGTAGTGAACCATGTTGGCGAGGTTGCGCGATACGTCTCGGCGCATGCGTGCGAACCACTTGGTTTGGCGACACATCTCTCGGAACTTTCTTTGTCTCTTGTTTGCCTCGATTGAGACAACGTTCACTTGCCTGATGGCATCCATCAATTGAATCTTCCTAGTCTTCAACTCGGAAAGATGAATGAGTGATGAATAGTATATGTCGCGACCTGATAGCAATTTCTTGCCTCTACTTTGAAGCATGTCTCTAGAGGTGACCAATACACGAACGGTTATATCACGCATTAGTGAGACCAATACGGCGACGGCATTAGCGGAAATTGTGAGATATGGGTGGGTCGTTGTTGTCTTGTCCTTGTCTTTGTTCTCCTGGAGCACCTCATTGATATACCTCCCTTGCCATTGGTTTGCCAACTCATTGGCTGTTAACTTTCTCTGCTTTCTTCTCATCTTGGATAGATGGACGTGTCAAGAAGTGGGACTGATTGATTGATTGATTGACAAGAATGAAAAGGACGCAAGGGCGCGCAATATGGCCCACAAAAGGACTCACGAGGCCTTGTTCCTGGTAATTTACAATTCTTTAATTAATTTAATTGGAAGCAGGTGAAGTAAGGTCCACCCAGAGTTCGTCTGGATGGTCGAGTGAATGCATTGATGTAGCTGGCGAATGATCATGTGTTGTCGTCTACCCCCTTGGAAGTGCGCGCGCACTGGTTATTGATCCAACACACACGCGTCAATGTAGAGGGATTCCTTCGAAGGCGCCAACCATCTTAATGAATGATCTCAATCTGAGTATACTTGTTGAGAGCACTGATCAGGAGGAAGAGGTCGTCCTCAATCTCCATGTCGTCCCACACCTTGCTAAAGAACTCGCCCGAACCGAGGAAGGCAAAGGTTGTGCGCATCTTCTGGATGTTGTGTGGTCGCAGGTATGGCGAGAACAGGATGACCGACTCGTGCTCGGCCGACTTGAACGCCTTGGTCACGTCGTCAAAGATGGGCTTGAGGTCGGCCGACTTCTTGACGCCGTAGAAGCGGAAGGCACGGTCCAGACTGTTGAACGCGTCACGCAGCGCCTTGTCCACCTTGGCCAAGTCCTGGATCTGGATGGTCTTGGAGTCGATCTGGTAGAAGATCTTGATGAGTATCTTGATGATGTTCTTCTCGGTCTCGTTGGCCTTCTCCTCGTTGGACACACGCTTGATGATCTTCCTCACTGAGCTGATTAGCTCGCGGCCCTCCTCTGGTATCATCTTCTTCAAACCGCTCTTTCCAACGCCTGATCCTGCGATCTTTCCAGAGATGTTCTTCTTTGCTCTAAACAGCACATCTGTCCTACCCTCTCTCTTTATCGATTCCTCTCTTGACAATACAGGTGCTCCACCATTCTTCTTTCCTTGACATGTCTTTACATGTTGTGTCCAATGATCGAACTCTATATTATTATGATTGATTGAGTTTATGAGTATGTCTGTTCTTTGCTTCGTTCATTCACCTCATTTGATCAATCATCAACATCATAATCATACCTTGTTGAGTATTTGCAGAGAAGTAGAACACTTTGCTTGAACTGTTGCGAATGGCAAAGGTGTAGGGTCTTGTATTGTTTGGTGGATTGAGGTCTATCTGTGCCAACTCAATATCTATACATTTAAAGTCGTCATCCTATCATGATTGGTTGATTGATTGTGTCAGTCAATCAATTCTATTCAATCAATCATTCAATCAAGTATACATACTTGTTCAGTTTGATATATATATAATGCACCTGGTACTAATCGAGCATATCTATTCTTATACTTTAGACTGTGAATATGTGACTTCTTTGCTGTGTCTAGAATACCCTCAAAGGCAACGATCGATGTTGCTGCTGCTGTTGTCATTTTACTTGTTGTAGATGATGTAGTTGTAGTAGTTGTAGATGTAGTAGATGTAGTTGATGTAGTTGAAGTAGGAGTGGACATTGTAATGTTTGGTTTGATTGATCGATCAAGAGAGTAGGCGTGTAGGAGTCTGTGTCGTTGTTGTTACTGTGTGTATGAGTGTCAGCTGCTATATTCATTCATTCATTATTCTTAGGCTAGACTTTAAAGACACAACCTCAACCCTCATCTCTAACTCACTCACTCACTATCACTCTGACGTCTCAGCACCAGATTATTAAACGCAGGTCCTTGCCATACCCCCACCTACAAGAAACCAACACCAAACACCACGATTGTCCTCTGTTTTCATGCGTCAAACGATGAGTAAGAATATGTGTGTGTGAGGCCGAAAAGGGGTATGAATGAGTTGATGGTCCATCTAAACAATGATGACAAAACACGGTCGACCGTGTATCGTTGTCTTTTCCTTCTATCAAAAGATGAGGCTAATTTTAACAACAAGTGTAGGTCCTATTTTGGGTCGACTTAAAATAGATGTAGATCCTTTTGTCGTGATCATTTATCGGAGTTATTGTATGTATAATACAAATAATGATACTTAGTTATATTTGGAATTATAATAAATATTTATTTGTTACTGAATAATAATGCAGTTGATTGACTTGATGAAGTGATCAGTCAACTTCTTGAATTATAAAATATCCCATAAATTAAGAGTTAGTGTGGTGGGGTGGAACAACCCCCTTTGGATGACCGATGATCACACAACAAACCAAATGAATGATCAAAAACAACAAAAACATGGACAACAATCATAATAATATATCAATACATAGAGTGTTGGGAGATGCCAAACTATGTGAAAAGATATTCGATCATGTTGGTGGTATCCATCGTAGATTGTTGGACAATAAGGTGATCAGATCAGTGATCAAGGGCAGACAACTATTGGACAAGGGCAATCTTAAACAGATGTTAAAGTACAATGCTAACGTCTCTTCGTCATACCCTCACAATGAATGTATTCTCGAGAGTGCGGTGGAGTTCAAGAATGAGCGAGCGTTCAAACATATGTTGACCAACTGCACCAACATGACTTTTTCCCAAGAGTACGATGATGAGGAGTTCATGGATGATTTGCGCACCTCAGTGATCAGGAGTGGCAACATCACTATGCTCCAGGCCTACTTGGACATCAGCCACCATCAACAGATGATCCACATCACATACGCCATGCTAATAATGGCAGTCAATCATTGCGACGAGCAATTCCTCAAACTTCTACTTCAACGCTCAATCGTCGGGAATCTAAACGATAGATTTGACAAGCCGGTGAGGCCTGATGTGGACATCAACATTCTGCACCTGATCAGTGATCACCTGGGTAATCAACTAATGTGGGAACCCATCTTGGAACACACTGTGTAGCACAACGAGGCCGAGATTGTACAGTTCCTCTTCGAACGCACCCCTGATATCATTACAAGGCTAGACGACAGTATATTCAAAAGAACATACGTGGATGTTTGTTGTTTGCGTGGTCACACTGATGTGTTCAAAGTGCTCTTTAAGCATATGACGCTGACCAGGTATAACTATTCAATCAATGCCAAACACGCGAGTATGATGGTCTCGTCTGGCCACACACAGCTAATCAAGTACATCTTGGAAGATGTCAATGGTGAGATCAAGATCGACTTGTGGTCATCCAACTCACTGCTTCAAGAAGCGCTGGTCAATGGCCATATGGACATGGCCGAACTACTCCTCGAACTCATCACCGGTCCCAATCCGGCACAGACAAGCGCAAGATGCAAGTTCAGAAGGTGGACGACATCCACGAGGACTTGGTGTCAACATCATTGATTGAACGATTGTCCAAACATCAAGGCGTTAAGTGTACAATCAATGTGGAGCAATTCAAAGTGGATGGAACTTTGACGAATGATCGAACACTCAAAGCCAAGTTGTGGTCAGCTATTGAGAACAATAACTTGGAGGCAGCAAAACACATCCTGTCACATTGCAAGGATCTTTGTATAACCACGTTTGTAACGCCGATCGATTCCCATATCTACAACATCTGGCACCACATGTCACCCGAGATGGGCATGCTGATCGCCACACATCCTGGCCAACCAAAGCCACTGAAGCTCAGCGCCAAAGACATGATTAACATGATGTTGGCCATTTGGAGGCCGGGCACACGCATGAACGAGGAGGTGGCCACTGCATTCGTCACCAACGGCTACTTTGACCTGTCGTCACCGTCTGATGAGCACAAACAAGCCAAGTCGATCTCGGCTGGCGTGTCATAGAAGTTCATGCAACTGGTCAATCAGTGCGAGGACCAAGCCGGCTTCACCAAGGCTCATCTCATCAGTGCCATTCAACATTCTTGTGTGGAGAACATCATCTATCTCAAGGACATCAAGGTGGGAGATAATTGGATGGCTGGCCGCGACGATGCAATTTCCATGGTCTTAGCAAATGGCTCATTCGCGACCGCACAAGCTGTGTTGGACAACCTTGATATTTGGTCCGCTGATGAATATTCATTACTTGCGCTTCAAAGAACACCAAGGAAGTGTTTGAGTTGGTGTACAACAAGCACATGGGCATCTTCAACAAGTCGATCACTGGGTCCCTCATCATCACTGCATGCAAATTGAACAAGCTACACATTCTAAAGATGCTCAATGATGGACCATCCACAACTGTCAGCCCTGCTGACCCTTCTCTGGCTCAGTACACTTGGAATCATATATCTCTTGCGGCAGAATCCAACTCATACGACGTGTTGGAGTATCTCTTGGACACCTGGACAGCATCACCATTCGTCAACACGACCAATACTCAACGTCTGCGCAATATCAACGAGGCACTACCCACTGCTCATTACCTTGGCTTTACGCGAGTCATTCGTCTATGTCAATCAATCATCAATCGCATCAAAAATAACAGTTCGAACAACAAGAAGAGGTATGCTATCAATCACACCATGGAACTATACCATCACTCACTCACACTCAATCAATCAAACAAATCAGGAAGAAATCAGAGACTGATGATGAGAGTACAGATATAATGATGGAGACAACATCAACATCATCTTCACGCTTGTCGACAGCATTCCAAATGGTGTTCAGAGATAGGAGACTGGGCATGATCATCATGAGGACCATTGGTGATGTGTACAGGAGGTTTGGTGTCAAAGATGACAAACTGATCAAAGGTGGTCAACTGTTGGCCAAGCATACTCTGGTCGACTATATCAAGTATGGCGCCATTGAGTGGTTCCTCAAGTCATACTATCCAGTTGCCAACATATACCCTGACAACACCAAGTTGCTCACAGCAGCACTCATTCGTGCCGACACTCAAGTTATGGACGTCCTCCTGGCCAACCCTTCGATGGGTATCATCTGCGACATCAGCTCCGCCATGGAAGATCCCTATAATTTCGGAGACGAAAAGAGCTTACTAGAGTCCATTGTGGAGCATCATTCAAACTGTCATCAGTCGGGATTGGAGCGCAGCATCGACAAAGATGACTGATGATCTGGTCCGATCTTTCATCAGTGGTTGGATTGCGTCTCGAGGCAAACAACTCCTGGATGATGATGTGATCCAGATTGTCAAGTGTGCAGCATTCACATCACTCTCAATGATCAAGTTGGTTCATGGTATCTTCACCACGACCAAGCATCGATTGTTGTTCATTCAAGCCATTGCCTTTTGTGCCAAACGAGGTGACTCTCAATCAATCCAATTCATGATTGATGTGATCAGAGAGGCATCGGGCGACACATCACTCAATCTCAAAGATATTGACTACGACAGGCTCAATGAAACAACAGATGTTGATACATTGGCAGTACTTGCGGACAATGGCATCATCGATTCCAACACGCATCAATCAAGATCAAACATCGTCAAAATATTGGACAACGCTTGCAACACTGGACATGTTGAGACCATTCGATTCATTGATCAACGATTCAACCAGAATGGTCCACACCCTGGCGGAAGGATGATGCTTGTACCAACATATCCAGCCATTGAGAAGGCAGTCATGTTGAACCATCATTCAGTGATCAAGTACCTCTTTGATCGCAAGTCAATATATTGGAGATCGATGGAACTACAACAAAGTCATCCACTCAATGCCATTCGATTGCTTAAACAACTTCAATACTATGCCTTCAATAATGGACACTTGAACATCATCAATGATTGCACCAAGCTGATCAATCAACTTGTGTGAGTGTGAATGAACTTCAAGCCCATAAATAAACATTATTCGTGTGATCAAATGTTTGGCACGTGACCTTCACTTCAAACTTGAGACTCGTTCATTCTTTCATTTATTCATTCACTATACAACTACAACATGGATAACAATAATAATAGACATAATATAGCGATACATAGAGTGTTGGGAGATGCTACACTGTTAGGCATGATACTCAAACATATCAGTGTCATCCATCGCAACATCATTAACCTTCACGTCAGTGCCGAGACTTACATATCAGTGATCAAGGGCAGACAACTATTGGACCAGGGCAGCTTTGATCAGATGTTACATTGCAATGCCACACAATACTTTATCGAAGCTTTTGATCGTGTTTCGGCATCATACCCTCACAACTTCTATTTATTCGAGACTGCAATGACGCTCAAGAATGAACGAGTGTTCAAACATCTGTTGACTTGCACCAATTTGACATTGCCTCAAGACTATGAGGACGAGGATTGCATGGATCTCTATCGCACCTGTGTGATAAAGAGTGGCAGCATCGTAATGCTTCAGGCCTACATTGACATCAACTATCATCATCAGTTGATCGACGTCACACTCGCAATGCTACTTATCGCCATCGATCACGGCGACGAACAATTCCTCAAACATCTACTACAACACTCAATATTGGACGATGAGGAAGGCGAGGATGAAAGTGAAGATGACTTGACCAACTTGTTGGTGAGACCTGGTGTGGACATCAACATTCTTCACCTGATCAGTGATCACCTGGGCAATCATGACCTGTGGAATGCCATCACGAGACACTCAGTATGCCACAACCAGGCCGAGAGTGTACAATACCTCTTGGATCACATGCCCGAGTCTATCACACAGCCCAAAGAGACACTGTTTGGATTCATATCTGATTGCTGTCAGCATGGAGGTAATGACGTTTTCAAAGTGCTCTTTGAGCGTTTGAAGCTGGTCAATTGTGGAGAAGCCATCTCCATTGATTATATCCAGGTGAGTTGGATGGTATGTAATGGTCGCACGCAACTCCTCAAGTACATCACGGATGAGCTCAAAGATCAGGTCAACATTGACTTGGCATCATCAAAAACACTGCTTGAAACAGCACTGATCGATGGTCATATGGACATGGCTGAGCATCTCCTCGAACTCATCACCAGATCTCGATCACACAAAGACCAGAAAAAGCGCATGATGGTTCAGACTGTGGGTGATATCAATGAGTACAAGGTGACCACATCATTGCTTGAGCGATTGTCCAAACATCAAGGAGTCAAGTGTACAATCAATATGGAGCAATTCAAAAAGAATGGAATGTTGACGAATGATCGAGCACTCAAAGACATGTTGAGGTCAGCGATTCGAAACAACAGCTTGGTGGCAGCCAAGCACATCCTACCACACTGCAAGAATCTTGATATCACCAAGTCGGACACGCCCAAGGACAACATATGGCTCAGAATGTCACCCGAGATGGGCATGTTGATCGCCTCACACAGCAATGATCATTCTCTCAAACTGAAGCCACTGATGCTCAGTCCCAAGGACCTCGAGAACATGATCACGGCCATTTGGAGTGAGGACAGCGGCATGAACGAGGAGGTGGCAACAGCATTCATCACCAACAATCACTTTGATATGAAGCAGTCCGAGGAACTGATGCGAGCCAAGTCGCTCTCGGCTGGCGTGTCATTAAAGTTCATGATACTGGTCAATCAGAGTAAGGGACCAGCCGACCTCAACCGCTCTCATCTCATCATGGCAATCGATCATTCATGTGTGGAGAACATCATATATCTCAAGAGTAGCGGTAAAGAGCCTGTTGGAGTTTTCCAGGAAGGACTCATTAAGGCTATTGAAGAGGGCTCATTGGCTGTAGTTCAGGCAATATTGGACACCTTTACACTCAAGGACAATGTTGAGGATTATTTATCGAGCGCCTCAAAGAACACCAAGGAGGTCTTTGAGTTGGTGTACCACAAGCTCATTGGCAATGCTGGGAAGTCGATCATCGAGACCCTCATATCACAGGCTTGTAAATTTAACAGGCTATATATTCTTATTATGGTCAATGATGGAACCATAAACAAAGATGCATCACTGACTGAGTACTCTATGGACAATATTAATGTGGCTGTGTTATACAACTCATACGACGTGTTGGAATACCTCTTGGACACATGGACAGCATCACCTTTCATCAACGGCATCACCAATACTCAACGTCTACGGATTGTCCTCTTGGTATTGAATTATGCTTATCGCTGTGGATATACGCGAGTCATTCATCTATGTCACTCAATCATCAATCGCGTCAACAACGACAACAGTTCGAACAACAAGAAGAGGTATGCTATCTCACTCACTCAATCACACCATAGAACTATTCCATCACTCACTCACACTAAAGCAATCAAACAGGAAACAACCAGAGGTTGATGAGAGTACAGATACAATGATGGAGACAAAATCAACATCATCATCACGTTTGTCGACAGCATTCCAAATGGTGTTCGGAGATAGAAGACTGGGCATGATCATCATGAGGACCACTGGTGATCTGTACAGGAGGTTTGGTGTCAAAGATGACAAACTGATCAAAGGTGGACAACTGTTGGCCAAGCATACTCTGGTCGACTATATCAAGTATGGCGCCATTGAGTGGTTCCTCAAGTCATACTATCCAGTTGCCAAAATATACCCTGACAACAACCAGTTGCTCACGGCAGCACTCATTCGTGCCGACACTCAAGTTATGGACGTCCTTTTGGCCAACCCCTCGATGAACATCGGCTTCCAATATATAAATGATTGGTCCATCCTACAGTCAATCGTGGAGCATCATTCACACTGTCATCAGGATGGATTGGAGCGCAGCATCGATGAGATGATGGTACTCAGTCAAAAGACAAAGTTCAAGTTTGAAGGCAAGCTCTTAGACACAGTCAACCACCCAGCACTCATGTACAAGTTGATAAAACTTAGCAGAGATAAAGTATACACCACGAAACATATGATCAAAGTGATGTTCAAACATTGGATCAGCGACAAGGAGGCCTTTGACCGAGCGCTTGGACCTTCCCTATTACCTTCACACGTCCAGCCCAGTGCACAGTATCAAGTCGATCAGTCCTGGTGTATATTCCAAATGAGTCATGTTCTCCAAGCACTCCTGGAGCTATGCGCAGCAGATGGTCAAGGCGTCGTACTCAATCACATTCTTGAGCGATTCCAAGATTTCATGCATCCATCCGTCCGTTGGTATGTGAATTACAACAAGATCTTTGGTTGTGCCGCGGTCAATGGCCATCTGGACATAGTCAAGCAACTGCATCAGTTCATAATCTCGCGAGATCGAACATTCGATCCCTGCCGATCAATCTCAGAAGTGTTGAAGAGGGGCCACGAGCAAGTGGTGGACTTCTTGCTCGGACTTCCATTGAAGAATGACCAAGACATGGATGAAGAAGAAGATGATGATCATGATGATGCGATCCTTCTTCAAGAACCGATCCAACCTGTGAGGGACATTCATCCAAGCATCTTGTCAATTGGATTGGTCCAGAAGTTGGTGGCACCACCCCATCAATTTAAATGCTCGTTCGATCGTGTGATGGCACGTGCCATACTCAATCAAGACAAGGCCACTATCACCTTTTTGGAGGAACAAAGGGATGAACACCAGTTCATTACCAACTATAACTTGGCACTAGGTGCCGCAGCAACGATTGGCGATGTGGAGACGGCCGAGATGATTCTACAGACGCACCAGTACTGCATCCCACCCGAGTATGTCGATAGGGACTTCAACATATATGATGAGGATCATTATTCAGAGGACGGCAAAGACCTGGGCTTTGAGTTCAACATCGAGGATGAGACTAAAAAGAGCATTGTCCTTAGATTGGAGAGATACAGAGTGAGCGCCATCAAGTGGTCACTGATCGAGCCTGCCGTGGGCATGGTGATTGCCAAATATCTTGCCAGCGACCACATCAACTTTGCATTCAAACATCTCAGCTTTGTCATTGCTGCGTCCACATTACCTCTGACCAAGATGACCGACGAAGTGGTCCAAGCCTTCATCAATGGTTGGATTGCGGGACTAGGCAAACGATTCGAGGATGATGATGTGGTCAAGATTGTCAAGTGTGCAGCATCCTACTCCCTCTCAATGATCAAGTTGGTTCATGGTATCTTCACCTCGACCAATCATCGATTGTTGTTCATTCGAGCCATACCACAATGTGCCAAACGAGGTGATGCTCAATCAATCCAATACATTCTTGATGTATTCAGGCAGCAAGAAACCAACGACGACGAAGACACATCAATCGATCTAGATGATATTGACTACAACAGGCTAAAGGAAACCACAGATGTTGATTCATTGGCAGTACTCGCGGACATTGGCATCATCGATTCCAACACGCATCAATCAAGATCACATCTCATCAATATTTTGGACAACGCTTGCAACACTGGACATGTTGAGACCATTCGATTCATTGATCAACGATTCAACAACATTAGCAATACCAGTTCTTCAGACGCCGGACAATCAATAATAGTTGTGCCAACAATTCGAGTCATTGAGGAGGCGGCAAAGATGAACCATCATTCAGTGATCACGTACCTCTTTGATCGCTCTTCAGCATTCTGGAGATCAATGGAACAACAACACAATCATCCACTCAATGCCATTCGATTGCTTAAGCAACTGCGATTCAATGCCTTCAACGATGGACACATGAACATCATCAATCATTGCACCAAGCTGATCAATCAACTTGTTTGAGTGAGTGTGTTTGAGCAAACCCATAAATAAACATTATTCTTTTGATCAAGTTCTTGAACTTGATCACTCATTCATACATTAATCATTCATTCACTTACAAGTCATGTACAACAACAACATACATAATATTGCAATACATACAGTGTTTAGAGATGTAATACTTTGTCGCAAGATACTCAATCATGTCAGTGAGATCAATCGCAACATCATTCAAGACCAAGACAATAAGGAGATATACAAATCAGTGATCAAGGGCAAACAACTGTTGGACAATGGTATCCTTGATCAGATGTTAAGATACAACGCCACACAATACTTTATCGACGAGTTTGATCATGTCTCGTCGTCACACTACCCAAATGGATATCCTCAGAATGACCATCTCCTCGCATGTGCGGCGATCTTCAACAATGAACGAGTGTTCAAACATCTGTTGACATGCACCAACATGACATTTCCATCAGAGTACTCTGAGGAGCTCGGGCATATCTTGGATTACATGCGTTCCTGTGTGATCAAGAGTGGCAGCATTATAATGCTTCAGGCCTACCTCGACATCAGCCAACATCAACAGATGATCGACATCTCATTCGGCACGCTACTGATGGTCAATCATGGTGGCGCAGATGTTACTTCAACGTTCATCGGTTGAAGAATATCGTCATGAAGACTTGTCCAAGTTGTTGGTGCGGCCAGATGTGGACATCAACATTCTTCGTCTGATCACTGATCATCTGTGCAATCTTAATCTCTGGATGGTGATCACCAAACACTCTGTGCGTCACGACAAGGTCGAGAATGTACAGTACCTCTTGGATCACAATGCAGGGTCTATGGCAGGGAATCCCAGACTCACATTGAGTATCCTCATTAGATTTTGCTTCGATTATGGATCGGTTGAGGTGTTCAAGGTACTATTTGAGCGTTATAAGGTGGCCATGTATAGAAGTGACCACTTGACAATCGCTTCCAAAAGGATAGTCTTCTGATCTCAGCTGGTCACACACATCTGATCAAGTACATCACGGAGGAGCTCAAAGATGATATCAATATCAGCATTGACTTGGAGTCATCCGACTCTCTGCTTCAAACTGCATTGGTCAATGGGCATATGGACATGGCCGAGCATCTCCTAGAACTCATCACCCGATCTCAATCCGGCAAAGATAAGCGCAGGATGCAGGATCAGCTGGTGGATGACATCCACAAGGACTTGAAGTCAACATCATTGATTGAGCGATTGTCCAAACATCAAGGTGTCAGGTGTATGATCAATGTGAAGCCATTCAAACGCCAACCGAAGCCATTGGTCACCGATGTACCGGACCCCAGAGTGGGTGGCACACATATATAACGATGATCGATGATAGTGATGGAGTCAACAACAACAACAACAACAGTAGTACCAGTGCAACTACTCAGTCCAATTACAATATGTACGACATTTTGAAGTTGGTTGAATCAAACTCATATGACGAGTTGGAGTATCTCTTGGACACATGGACAGCTTCGCCATTCGTCAAAACCACCATTACTCAACGTCTACGCACAGTCAAAAGTGTACTGGACAGTGCTAACTTTGATGGAAAGACGCGAATCATCATCTTTGTCACTCAATCATCAACAAAATCAACAACAGTTCGAGGTAAGTCAAACCAATCATGCAATGGAATAGTTCCTTCCCCCCCACGCTCAATCAATCACCAATCATACTTATTCAATGATTCGATCCAACAATCTCAGGAAACAAGAGGAGGAGAGTTCCATCGCAGTGAGGATGGATACGACACCAACATACGCATCACGCATGTCAAAAGCATTCCACTTGGTGTTCAAAGATAGGAGACTGGGCATGATCATCATGAAGACGATTGGTGATGTGTACAGGAGGTTTGGTGTCAACGATGACCAACTGATCAAAGGTGGAGAACTTCTGGCCAATCATTCACTGGTCGACTATATCAAGTATGGTGCCATTGAATGGTTCCTCAAGTCATACTACCCAGTTGCCAACATATACCCTGACAACACCAAGTTGCTCACAGCAGCACTCATTCGTGCCGACACCCAAGTTATGGACGCCCCCCTGGCCAACCCCTCTATGAATATCCTTCATCATGAGTATGATTCCATCCTACAATCAATCGTGGAGCATCATTCACACTGTCATCAGGATGGATGGGAGCGCAGCATCGATGAGATGCTGACACTCAATCAAATGTCAAAGTACAAGGTTGATGGTTTGATTTTTCCCAAGGTCAACCATCCAGCGCTCATGTACAAGTTGATCACGATCAGCAAAGATGTCTACCCAACGCAACACATCAAAGTGATGTTCAAGCATTGGATCAGCGACAAGGAGGCCTTTGATCGAGCTCTTGGACCTGGCCCATTGCCCTCACTCGAATCACACGTCCAGCCCAGTACCCAATATCATGTGGACCCGGCCACTTGCAAGTTCCTAATGAAGGATGTGATGAAATCACTCCTGATGCAATGTGCAGAGAATGGCAAGATCGACGTGTTCGATCACATTATCGATCGCCTCGAAGTCTTGTCATTTTTCGACATCCGGGATTTCAACTTGGCCTTCCGTATTGCCGCGACCAATGGCCATCTTGACTTTGTCAAACGGCTCCATGAGATCATTGTCTACCATGACGCTGGCCCAAGATACTTCCATTTCTACCCGATCTCTGACGTGTTGAAAAAGGGCCACGAGCATGTGGCCGACTTCCTGCTCGGACTCCCATTGGACAACAATGATGGCGACGACTATGACATGGACAGTGATGGCGACGACTACGACATGGACAGTAATGATGATGAGGATGATTATGATAATTATGAATTATCGATCGGACCTGTGATTGACATCCATCCAAGCATACTGTCGATTGGTTTGATACAGAGGTTGTTGGCACTTCATCAAATCAGGTTCAACTCCAGCACTTTGCTGGCGCATGCCATACTCAATCAAGACAAGGCTATCATCAACTTGTTGGAGCGATCATCTTATTCAAACAGGTTCAAATCAGACTATCACTTCGCACTGGGCGCCGCCGCGATCACTGGTGATGTTGAGATGGCCGAGATGATCATTCAAGAGCACCCTGATGAGTGCATCCCGCCAGAGTACGTGGACAAGGATTTCAAGATATATCGTCAAGATCATGAAGAGGACAGTGACGATGACGATGAAGACGATGAGGATGGAAACCTAGTCTTTGAGTTCTACCCCGAGGAGTCAACAACAAAGTTATCCAGTCAATGCCATTCGATTGCTTAAACAACTTCGATTCAATGCCTTCAACGATGGACACATGAACATCATCAACCTGTGCACCAAGCTGATCAATCAACTTGTGTAGGTGACCCATAAATAAACACAATATGAGTTGAGTGTGTGGTCGTGTGTGTCGCGACCTTCAAACTTGACTCTTTCGTTCATTCGTTCACATACACTCATTCAATCAATCAATGCTATACAATAACAACAATAACAAGATAGTTATACATAAAGTATTGACAGATACATCATTGTGTCAGTTGATATTCAAACATGTTAGTGATATTCATCAACTATGGATACGTGAAGGTCAACAACACTTAGTCAAGCCAGTGATCAAAGGCAAAGAGCTACTAGACAGAGGTGATCTCAAACAGATGCTACAGTATAACGCAACACAATACTTCATCACAGAGTATGATCGAGTTGCATCGACATACCCTCCCAACATCACATTACTCGAACAAGCGATAAAGTACAACAATCAACGAGTGTTTGATCATCTGCTTCAGAACACAAACATGTCACTACCATATCATTCGTTGAACACCTACAATAATAATACAGACGTGATCACAGATATTGTCAATAATGGCAATGTCCACATACTACAGACCTACCTCGACATGACCGGACAAGGAGTTTTGTACCAACTCGAACTCAAACAACTGGCAATCGCGATCAATCACAAGAACGAGCACTTTGTTAGAGCGTTACTTCAACATTCTATCGTGAGTGAACATGTTTTCCAGGAACCTGATTTCCATCTCGACATCAACATGCTTCGTCTACTCAACGAGGAGTTTGCCCATCATCAACTGCTTGACAACTTTGACATTTGGAAGTGGTTCATCGAGAGTTCTGTACGCTCTGACAACGCCGAATGTGTAGAATATCTCTTGGATCACATTCATGGATCGTCAAACAATGGATACAATGGCGATGACGATGACGACAACTTCTACGACCATGACTTTGAGGCTAGGCTCAGAGGCATATTGAGAGAGCAAGCAAAGTATTGTTGCATGAATGGATATATTGATACACTCAATGTTATACTTCAGGATCTCACTCCTGAAGATGTCATCAAGATCGACTCATCATCACTGGAGAGCATAATCGAGAGTGGGCATTCAGACATCATCAAATACCTCATCGATCATCAACAGCCCATCAACACAGACTACTCCTCGTCTGAAAATTTGGTCCAGAAGGCCCTTGACGTGCTTACTCGCGATCATACTCTTGGTCTTGACATTGTCACCGTGCTCCTCGACGCGATGACCAACAATCCCGACATCAAGTTTGCAAAGCAATGTGTGAATGGCAAGAGCCAGACCATCGTGCCAGACCACCTGTGGGAGTTGGTCTCCAACCACCCGAATGTCGAGTGTCAGGTCGTAACCAAACGAATACCCACGTCAGAGGAGGTGCATATCAAATTGCTACTGGAGGCAGTCAAGAACAACAACATAAGTGAGGTCCAACTCATTCTCCCTGAGTGTGATTCCGATTGCCTCGAACAATATTGGACCCAGGAGCATGAGCGCATCATACTTGAAACAATGTCACATGAGGTGGGCATGCTTATTGCTAGCCAAGAGCTCCGTCCTTTGCCTCTAACAGCCTATACCCTGACATTCTTTGTCAACGAAATCACTACCATGTCTCCAGGACCCCAGCGCCAGAGGTTAATCGAGCTGGCCAGACTATTCATCAGCTACCTTTACTTTGATTCAAGTTTCAGGTTTGGCCACTGCAGCAACTCAATCAAAGTTGCTGGTGTATCTGTGGAGTTGATGCAACTCATCCATCATTTGTTCGAGATTGGTCCGGGTATGGACCTGTTCAACTACTGCTTCAAGCACCTAAAGAAAGCGATCAAGGCAGGCTACGTCTTGGGCATCGCCTTCCTCTCCAGGCATGTCAAGCCAAGCGTGGACAATGCCGCAGAGGAGAGATCAACAATCAATAAGGCGATTGAGACTGGCACGTTGGAGTCAGTTAGCGCCATCTTTGATTACCTGGCCAAGTTCTCAAACACATTGGTCACCTCAACCAGTTTGGAGCACGCCATTCGCAACTCAACAGAGGTATTTGAGTTTGTGTTGGGCAGACTGGTGGCCGCCAACGTCAATGTTCGTCACAGCCAAGCCGTGTCCACAGCGTGTAAGCATAACAAGCTAGGTGTACTTAAGACATTGACTGAAGAGCATGGATGCGTGTCGAGCATAAGCTTAGTCGACATCGAGTACGCTGCGCAAGGCAATTCGATCCAGGTGCTGGAGTACCTTCTCAAGACATTACCATCATCACCATTCATCCTCAACAAGACCAAAATTCAACGACTTCGTGCGATCAATGAAGCTCTCCACATTGCCTACAATTATGGATACGTCCGAATCATCGACCTTTGCCATTCAATCATCAAGGACATCAACTCGAACATGATAGTGTATGTACCTCCAATCAATTAGGAACCATCCCACTCATCACTAACCCACTCAATCAATAAAATCAATCAATCTAGGAATGACTCTATTCAACCAAAAGCATTGTACAGTGAGACCAATCAATCATCAACATCAACATCAGCATCATCACGTATATCAACAGCATTCCATTTGGTGTTCAGAGACAGACGAGTGGGCATGATCATCATGAGAATGATTGGTGACATCAATAGAATAACATATAAGGAATATCAACTGATCAAGGGCAGACAACTCCTGGATATGGATTCATTGCTTACATATATCCAATGTGGCGCCCATGAATGGTTCATCAAGTCGTTCAACTCTGTCTCCAACATCTATCCACACAACTCCTATCTGTTGGATAAATGTTTTGGCTACGCCTCCCCTGACGCGCGCAATGTGGACACCCTCCTGGCCAACATCAACCTATCCTTTGTTTCAATATTCCCTTTAAACGTTCTACCAATATTAGTTGGACATCAGAATGGACGAGACATCCATCCAAGGTGGGAGTACCTCTTGGACGAGCTCCAGGCAAACCTTGGACTATCCACACTATTGGTCAATGGAAAGGTCATTGATGGAGTCACAGACCATGAGGTTATCAAGAGGTTGACGGACGTCGATACACCCGGCGAGCCACTCCTCACTGTTGAGTACTGTACCACATTACTGTCGAACCATATCAGGATGCTTGAGAGTGGCACCATATCAACAGTCTCGCCCCCGTCCACAGTCCAAGTGAGCGATGCACTCGAGTCTACAAGCTTTATTAGTGGCCTCATTCACCTATGCTGTGTGACTGGTCGTGATGAGATCATCGACATTATACTTCGTTACAAACCTGCCAGCGACTTGCCACCCAGATAATATTATTGCTGGCTACAAAACTGCATTGGAACGAGGTCACATTGGAACGGCTCAGAGGTTATACACAATCATCATCAACGATCTCCCCGCTGAGTCGTTGGTGGGCTTTGATCCACTGGCACTGATGGACTTTTCTCTGAAGAATGGCCGCATGGACTTGGCAATGTTCTTGATTGGTCTGCCCAACCACAACCCCAACGACATTCACTACGCTGAGCCCGTCACGGACATCCACCCAAGCAACCTATCCCTTGACCTGCTTCAACAACTGATCGCACATCCTCGCCTCAATTGCACATTTGAATCAGTGATGGCTCGCGCCATACTCAAGCGAGACATGGACATCATCAATATGTTGGAACTCAATGAGAATGGAGAGTTCGCCACTGACTACCGCTGTGCATTGGGAGCGGCGGCAATGATTGGTGATGTGGACACAGCCGAGATGATCTTGAACAATCACCCGAATCTTTGCATGCCTCCCGAGGATGTTGACTTTGATTATCGTAGAATTGAAGATGATAACCTTGTTCAAGAGTTTGATCTCACATATCTCTATAACAGGCGAGAAAGACATCGAGTGGATGTTTGGACGCGCGTCGATCCTGCGGTTGGACGGCTGATCGCACGTCACATTACATTGGGCAACATTGACCACTTTGACTGTATGATGCTGTACAACGTCATGGGCGCGGCATGTCGTCCTCAGACCAAGATGACAGAGGATGTTGTCAAAGAGTTAATCATTGGATGGTTTGAATCACGTCATTACTATGATAGTTATGACTTGATTTATATCATGCATCGTGCTATATCTCTATCACTACTCAAGTTGTTGGACACAATCATTCAGTTTGACGAAAGGCCACTGTTCGTCTATGCGATACCTCAATGTGTTCATCGAAGTGATGTCCAATCTCTCCAATTCATTATCGATGTGATGATGGAGCCATCGACTGAAGATGGAGACGACGCTCCTACATATGGCCATCCCACAGTGGACCTCCTCAAAGAACTAAAGAAGGTCAGCATCACCAATGTCGAGGTGATGGCCATACTCATGGACAATGGATATATTGACAATTCTGATCGATACAATGGACTCATTCAACAAATATTGGACGCAACCTGCTCAAGTGGACGTGTGGACATGATTCAATTCATCGACCAACGTATCAACAATGAGAGGCTGTTACAAACATCGACATCATATGGAGTCAGGCAATTCGTTCCAGCAATTAGTTCAATGGTACTTGCTGTAATGAGCAATAATCACAATGTGATTGCCTATCTCTTGGGCGATGGCGATACTCAATCAACAATGTGGCGAACAATGTCACAGCATCCAACTCATGCCATCCGATTACTTGTACGACTCAGACACACAGCATTCTTTGATGGACTTGTCAAAGTGATCAAATGGTGCACCAACCGAATCAAACAACTCAAACTTGATCTTCACCATCATTCGTCTTCAAATATAAAATGATCTTCACTCGCGTGGGGGGTTACATCATTCAATGAATGAGTGTGATCAAAGTCTAAAGCCAGAGTATGAATCTTTGTGTGTGTTCATTCAATCAAACAATCATGAATAATAATAATAAGGATATTGTTATACATAATGTATTTAGAGATACTGCGTTGTGTCAACGTATACTCAGTCATGTCAACTTCACAATCAATCAGATACTCTCCGCCTATCCACTTTACAACACATCATCAAATACAACAACTACAACAACAACTACAAGGACAACTTATGTAATAGGTGTTATAAAGGGCAAGGTATTATTAGAGAATGGTGACCTTGGACAGTTTCTAAAGTATCATGCTACTCAATATTACATCAATGAGTATGATCGTGTATCGGCCACCCATCCCTACCCGCCCAACAACACATTGCTAGCACAAGCAATCTGGTACAACAATCCACAAGTGTTTGATCATCTACTGCGCAATGTCAACATGTCGCTACCAGCACAAACACAGACAGACCAATCCAATATTAATAAGAGTTACTCAGACTTGATCACCAAGCTGGTCAAGATTGGCAACCTACACATGCTCCAGTCCTACTTGAGTATGACCGCGCATAGTATGATCACCGGCATCACTGGTGAACACCTGCTGATGGCCATCAACCATGACAACGAAGACTTTGTCCGACTGCTTCTCCAACATACAATAGTGAATGAGAGTAACAATGGTCAAGCCCCCAGACAAGCCTTTGCCTTGACCCTGCCTGGCATCAGCCTCAGCATGCTCCGACTCGTCCACCAGGAGTTTGGCCACAATCTCAACGATCAATATGTGTGGCATGCCGTCGTCAAGCAGTGTGTTCTCTTCAACAATGCCGAAAGTGTCAAGTACCTCTTTGATCGGATCCCTGCATCTTTTACTGCGGGCCTAGAATTTGCAAAGTTGTTGAATGATTACCTCATCCTATGTGTGAGCTCGGGCCACATCGACACGTTCAAGGTGCTCGTCCCTCACTTGAAGTCGATAAACTTTAGGGTCAACTTTGCTGTCCTTGCTGCCAACGGTCATGCTGAGTTTGCCAAGTTCATCATGGCTCAACATCGCAATTTGGCCAGTCTCACCTCACTCTTCATCCCCGACTCACTGCTGCAGGCTGCGCTGGTTGGTGGACATCTCAACATGGTCGAGTTGCTGCTCGATGTGATGACAGGCAAGGAGTTCAATATACCCATACAAGTGGTGACCGACATCCATGAGAGCATTGTGTCCGAGTCGCTGATCACTAGACTCGACAACCATCAGAATGTGAAGTCACTCATCGACCTGGCCGAGTTCAAGGCCAATGGAATGATTGTGACGCCCCGATCACTCATCAACAAACTGTTTGACGCGATTGAACGCAACGACCTCCAGGCCGCCAGGCTCGTCCTGCCACGTTGCAACAAGCTTCCACTGAAGAGCGGTGATATAAAGGATGACTACGCCGAGTTGTGGACGAGCATGTCCGTCGAGATGGGCATGCTCATTGGCAGCCAGACACACAAGCCGCTGCTGCTACATAGACGTGACCTCTCCTACATGATCCAAGCCATCCAAAACCAGGACTACAAGATGACCGAGGCTGTCGTGTCGACGTTCATCGCCAACAATCACTTTGATTTGGGCTTCGAGGTCCAGGGCAACTTCAAACCATACATGAGCGCGGGGGGCGTGTCGCTGGCGTTCATGAAGCAATTGAATCAAACGTACTACCTGGAACATCTCTTGAATGCGATCAGACGAGACTGTGTCGAGAACATCATATATCTCGCCAAGAAAGTCAAACCAAAGAATGGTGAGGATAAAAAAGTCATTGGCTTTGCAGTCCAACAGGCGCTATACAGTGGCACACTGGAGACTATTCAAGCAATTGCCAAACACATGAAGGCAGACAAGTCCTCAAAGAAGCAGTCATTCGCCTATGACCTCGACACCTGGCAGAACACAGAACAAGCGATTAGGAACCCGGATCACAGGGTGTTTGAATTGATCTTTGACTCACTCGACTACAGCAGATCATTCTACTTTGACAAGTTCTTCATTTCGGCGTGCCGTGGTGACAAGCCTTTGGTGCTCAAGAAATTGCTAGAGGTTGGATATACACTCACACTGCAGGCCTACGAGTTGGCGGCATCATTCAACTCTCACCTAATCATGGCGTATCTCCTGGCGAACTGGCCGGCACACCTCTCCACCAACGTCCAGCGTATGCGTGTTGTAAACACTGCACTCTACATTGCCAGTCAGCAAGGACACAAATATCATCAAGCAATGCCACTCAGCCATCAAGGAGCTCAACAAGCCAGACAAGAAGAGGTAAGTAACCCAGGCAATCAATACTCAAACATCAAGTTGATCACTCACACTCGCTCAATCAAACAATCAAACAGAAAGTTATCAGGTACGTTGGACGTTGATATGGTGGATGCGACGACCGCACCACGTTTGACAACACTGTTCCATACTTTGTTCAGAGACAGAAGATTGGGCATGATCGTGTTGGGACAAGTTGGATACATCTACAAGAGACTTGGTGCAAAGGATGGCCAATTGATCAAGGGCAAACAGTTGTTGGCCAGAGACACGCTGACCACCTACATCAACTATGGCGCAGTCGATTGGTTCCACAAGGCCTACAGACCACTGGCCAACACCTATCCGATCAACTCCCAGCTGCTCAAGATTGCCATCATCTCTGCCAACCGACTCATTCTGGATACTCTCATCGACAACCCCAAGATGACGCTCGAGTCACTCGATACCAATCATTTGGCCTTCCTCGAGAAGTTCCTCAAACGTCATACAGATTGCACACAGCCTGATTGGGAGTACAGTTTTGATGTGTTGCTGGCCAACATTGGTCGAGCAAATCTTCCAAAGTACACAGTCGAAACTCTCCATATTCGCATCCATCATCCAGCGCTCATGCGCAAGTTCTTGGCAATGAGTGATCTCCCTCTGCATCCCTCGGACTTTATCAACGACATCCTACATAGCCATGATGCTGGTGGCAATGCTGATGCTGATGCTGGCAATGGCATTGGTCAGGAGCCTTTGACCATCCCCTTCTTTGGTCAGAACATCAAGATACCCGAGGGTCCATTGACCAATGATACGATGTTCGAGGTGTCCAAGGAAACACACGACTTGTTGATGAAGCTCCAGAACCAGTCATTGGGCGACATGTACACATTCATGCAAAGCCAGCCGGACCTGATGGCGCAAAGCTTCAACATGATTCAGCAACTGTCACAGGCCCAATCCAAATCAAATCAACAACTCGAGCGCTTCTGCATGTCTGGTTACACGGCCAAGGTCGATGAGATACTCGCCAAGACACACGCCAGCAAGCTGTCGCCCGACTCCTTGCTGCGCGCATATCGAGCAGCGGCAATCAATGGACGTCTGGATATTGTCAAGAAGTTGTTCGCCGTAATCACACCGTTGGATTGGGCCGAAGACTTTAACCCATGCCAATCAATCGAGTGCGTGTTGGAGAATGGATATTTGGATGTGGCAACATTCATGCTCGATCAACCTGTCGTTGCAGATGATGAAGACGAAGACAATGAAGATGACGACAATGACGACCCAGTGATCATGGACATACATCCAAGTATATTGACCATTGGTTTGTTGCGTCGATTGGTCGCCCATCCAAGGTTGAACTGCCTATTCGCAAAGGTATTAGCAGGTGCCATACTCAATCGCGACAAGACCGTCATCAACTATTTGGAGTTCAATGAACAAGGAGTGTTTGGCACTGACTACTGCGCTGCCCTCGGTGCCGCTGCCTCCATTGGTGATGTGATGACTGCCAACATGATCCTGGGTGGTCACCCCACGGTCTGCCTTCCACTCGAATATATCGATGACCCGGTTAAGCCTGCCGAGTTGCACCAGTTGCACCTCATGTATGACGATTATGACACATCTGAATCTGATGAGTATGAAGGCAATCAAATTGATCTGGAACAGGAGGATCAAGACAGGGTGAAGAGGCATGCTCGCTACGCCAGTGTTTGGGCACGTGCCCATCCTGATGTATGCATGGCCATCGCTGCACGAGTTGGAACGGGCAACATGGAGTTTGGAGTCAAGTACCTCTGCCGCATCATTGAGTCACACTACCTGCCCGAGACCAAGATGAGCGAGAAAGTGGTCCGCGCATTCATCCAGAACTGGCTGTCGATCGGACAGACTGATCAGAGCATCATCAACGTTATCAAGTGTGCCGCAACACACTCACACTCGATGGTCAGGTTGGTGCAGGACATCTTCAAGACGCCACAACAGCAACTGTTGTTCACTCAAGCCATTCCCGAGTGCGCCAAGCGTGCCGATGCCGAATCAATCAAGTTCATTCTCGATGTTGCCAGAGCAGCATCGACAGCGACCAACACGCCACTCAATCTAGACAAGCTGGCCAGCGAGTTGGGTACCATCACCAACGTCCACGTGCTGGCCGTTCTAATAGAGTATGATATCATCAAGCAGACACAGAAGATCAACTTCCTCATTCTCCGTTTGTTGGACAATGCCTGTGCCACTGGTCATGTAGACACGATCAGATTCATCGACCAACGATTCAACAAACGACTAGAGTCACCAACATCGATTGGACAGCATCAGTGGCAGCTCGTGCCATCACTTCAAGCAATAGTCTCAGCTGCAATGACGAATCATTATGATGTGATAGTGCATCTCTTCTCAAGCCCTGCTAGCGAGAGTACAGCGTCGTCCTCATTCTGGAGCACAATGTCACAACATCCAGCACAGGCCATCAGATTGCTTGTACAGCTTAGAGACGCTGCATTCGTTGATGGTCACATCAAGTTGATCTCATGGATCACCAATCGCATTAAGCAGTTGGAGTGATTGATTGATGAACTTCCATAAATAAGTGATCACTTTGTGTGTGGGCTTGGGTCCAAAACGACCATAAAAATATCTTGATCAATTTGTGATCAATCATTCATCGTCATAGAGATAACATATATTAAATAATGATTACACCTACTACTGATGTCGCCATTGACAGTACATTCAGATTGATGATACACAACAAGGTGTTAAGATCAACTATCTTTCAACATGTGAGCATGATCCATAATCAATGGACCATCAACAAAGGTACTCCATTGGTCACCAAAGACTATCACTATAACATCAACAATAACAACAACAACAACAACAACAACAACATCTTCCCAATAATACTCAAAACGATCAAAGGTGACAAGTTATATAATGATGACAATCTTGTAGAGATGATCAAGTACCATGCCACAAGATGGTTCATCGAATCATTTGATAGTATATCACAATCACTACCAATACCAATGGAACTTGTCACCAGACTATTATATAAATCATTCAAACATAATAATATTATTACATTCAATCATATATTCAATAACAACATAGGCTGTTGCAATACATTACTTGAACAAATTGATAAAGATAGAATGCTAAAGATTATCAAACATTTCAATGTTGACATGTTCACTGCCTACTTGAATGTGAATGGCGCAGCACGATCATTATCAATCCTCAGCTATCACTTGGGCTCGGCCATTGACACTGGCAACGTTGACTTTGTGCGACTGCTACTCAAACACAAATGTGGAGGTGAGACGGCTAGAGATGGAGTAAAGCGGCCGGCCAGTGTCGACATGCTCAAGTTTCTACACGAGGAATTCGAAGTCCACTTTAACGACCACGTGTTGTTACCATCATTACTCAAACTGTGTATCAAGTGGAACAAGGTGGACAGTGTCCAATACATTGTCAAGCATATGCCCAAGTTCTTAGCTAAGAGAGAATCACCGATCAAACAGAGTATACGTAAAGGATTGGTATATGTGGCCAAACAAGGGAACGTTGAGATGTTCCAATCCCTTTGCAACACACCCTTGGGACTAAAGCCCTTCCACAATCTTCCAATGCTGCAGGCAGCTTTGGACTTTGGCCATGGTGATCTTATCAAACCACTTCTTTGTGGTAGCGACGGTGATGATGATGATGATGGACTCAGGGAGACGGTCATTCAATATTTTGAGTGGCCTGACGGAGACACAGACAGATCACCAACCGATGCCAAGCTTCGTGTCACTCCCTTATCGACGATAAACACGAATAACTTTGAGATGGCCGAGTCACTCCTTCCTCAAGTCGAGCCCGTATCGATTGGTGTTGCAATGTGGGGCCGAATGTCCAGTCAAATGGCTAAGTTCATCACTCATCCTCGTCATAAAGGACTCAAGCTATTCTCTCATTCCAACTTGTCATTCTTGTTAGAGTCGATGAAGGTACCAGGATGCCACATCACAGAGGAGATCATTCTCAACTTCATTGACAACTGCCCATCGGATGCTCCTCGATGTTCAAACACCAAACATCTAATCTCATTGTCAATGTATATCTCGCCAATGGTCGCGCTGAGGATACATCAATCATTCAATCTCCCTTTCACAAGTGATTGTTTGGTCATAGCATTGGAGACGGGCAACATTGAAGCTATGTCATTGGTACTCGATCATACTTCTGCAGATCATCTTGACAGAATGTCAACTAACCATACAGTTGAGTTTGCGGCCCGTGAGATAATATCAAAGGAATCGTTGGACAAGGTGGCCTTATTGTTGGACAGGTTGCCAAAGTTAGTTTATAATGATTACATTCGCGAATCGATTATGACCAACTTCACACCAGGTGTCGTTCCTCATTTCCTGGACAAGTTTACAATCACAGACTACAACACGAATGGAAGGATCAATGCTAATGTGATGGGCATGATTGCAACAGCCTTCTACAATGACAATCAATATGCATTGGACATACTCGTACAGCGATTAAAGGATGCTGGACAGCCACTACCAACAGTCACACTCAGAACATTGATGAAGGCATCACATAACAATGCCTATCATATGTTGGAACATTACTTAAAGTCAACAGAGTTCAACAATCATTCCAAGACAAACCAATTACGAACCCTCAACATGATCATGCATCGAGCCTTGATGAGTGGGCGCTCTCGCATCATCAAACTATGTCAACATTCAATCAAAGTCATTCAAGAAAACAGGAAGAGGTATGTTCGAACATGTATATATGATTGTTGGTAACCTCAAGTATCACTCATTCAATCATTCAACCAATCAATCAAACAGAGATAGAGACGATTATGGAGACAAGGACCATTGTGGAGATATTGATCAGATCATGGTTGTCCACGCATCTTCACACTTGGAGACCGCAGTTCACAAGGTGTTCACAGATAATAAGTTGTGCCAGACCATCATGTATCAGGTATCAAGCATCCACAGATCATTTGGAGTTACTGCGAGCAACTGTATCAAAGGTGGAGAGTTGCGATCAAAGCACAGTCTGGAGGAATACATCAAGTATGGTGCATCACAATGGTTCATCGAGTCATACTATGCCCATGTGAAGGACAACATGACACTTCCAAATGTACATCTACTTAGCCAGGCCTTGATCCATCCCAACAAGTACATACTAGACATATTGTTGGGCGATCCAAGAATGGTAATCAATCCCAACATTGACAATGGTGGTCACATCGCCGCATTCAATGAAAGACATTCATCATGCACTCTGCTAGACTGGGAGAGGGCGTTGGATCAATACCTGGCAGTCACATCTCAATCGCCGCGAACAATCGAGATCTCAAGTTTATCAGTGTCCTACATCAAGAATCCGACATACCTTCGCAAGTTCATAGATTTTGGCTTCCAAGTCAATGCAATAGTTAATTGCGAACATGTTCAAAACTTGGTCAGTTCGTGGCTCACCAAGCCATGGGCACTAGAGATGCTCAATCTCCTCCAACATCACCATTTGATCAAGGTCAACGACTTGATGACATTACTTTCCAAGGCAGTGGAGCTCAACCTCATTGACATTGTTCGATATTTTCTGGACGCGCAAGTCTTCATGGAATACTATGATGAAGTTCCTCTTTGGTCAATCAATTCTCCGTGTTTCTCAAATTTACTCAGGGCAGCATCAGTGGGAGGCAACCTATACATGTTAAAGACATTGATCAACTCAAATAATAACTGCGAAGGAAACAAAAGGTTGGTCGATCTCTCGGTATTCAAACAACTTGGCGTTGCCCTCAAAGAGAACCATCATGTGGACTTGGTCAACTACATACTCGACAACACACCTTTGGATATTGATGATTGTTGCGAAGTGACACACATCAATTCGAGCATTGTGTCAATTGAGTTGATCAATCGATTGAAGGCACATCCATTAATCGTTTGCAAATTCGAGAGAATTTTGGAATCATCCATCAGAGCAGGAAAGCAAGATGTCATCGACCTATTTTTGAATGATCATACGTATCCAATAGAATTACAAGAATACAACCAAGCATTTCAAGAAACAATCAATCGTGGCAACATAGTCCTGTCCAGGGTACTCCTCAAAAAGTTGGGCAAAAAGCTCATTAATGAGACAAACATCCCAGACTTCATTGCCAAAGCGATACAATCATCATCTATTGGAAGCAAGATTATTGGTGACATTATTAGTTTGTTTGATTGCATAGGTGATGATAGAGAATTTTACTTGTTTGGATTCAAAAGGATCTTTGCTGCAGCGGCAAAGAACATCTCACTCGATCACCTCAAAATATTGTTCAAATCAATCGGCCCTGACATGATGGCTGGTCTTCTTGGACTCTTGGACTTCAAGAGTGTCATTGACTCACGTGTCCAGAGTGCCGACACTCAATCAATAGAGTACATAATGGGCATGTGGAAGGGCAGACCCAGTGCCATCATTCCATTCAAGATACATAATAGTGAGTCGATGTCATTCATCTTTGACAAGGGATACCTCACTTTGGATACATCCGATGAATATAACATAGAAGTATTGGATAATATTATGGACTCGGCATTCAAGGATGGACAGGTTGATGTGGTGAGATTGGTTCATCAACGATGTTGTGACATACCTGGATCAGGATTGCTACTGCTCAAGAGGTATCTACCATCATTGAACATACTATCAAAGGCATCGAGTGACAACCATCATCAATTGATCAGGTATCTATTTGAGGATGAGTGTTTTGGTGACACCATCCATCAGTCACCATACCATCGAGCATTAATCAATCCATCACATATTGCTCGACACTTGGAAGTCATTGGCATAGAGGCATACCAACATGGACACATCAAGATCATTGAGTTGGTTCAACGAGTCTCCAGATCGTTTCGTCGAAACGAACTTCCAAAATGACCCATAATAAATAAACAACAACTTCACTCACCAAGATCATCTGTGTGTTTGAGTATGAACATTGATCATTTGATTAAATGATGAACAAATACAACAAGATAGTTAGAGTGTTCAGTGACACATCATTGTGTCAGTTGATATTCAAACATGTTAGTAATATTCATCAAGCACAACTTAAAACATCCGGTGATGAAGATCAAGTTATAGAGTCAGTGATCAAAGGCAAACAGTTACTCGACAATGGTGATCTTAAACAGATGCTACAGTACAACGCAACACAATACTTCATCACAGAGTATGATCGAGTTGCATCGACATACCCTCCCAACAACACATTGCTCACACAATCAATCAAATACAACAATCAACGAGTGTTTGATCATCTACTGAGCAACACAAACATGTCGATACCGATGAAGTACGGTGGGAAGGACATATACACTGACGTGATCACAGCTGTTGTCACGAGTGGCAACATGTACATGCTTCAGACCTTCTTCGACATGACAGGCCATGGCATCATCAGAAGTCTCAAGCGCGACCAACTGATGCTCGCCATCAATCACAACGAACACTTTGTTCGACTGTTGCTTCAACATACAACCGTTCATGTACCTGTAACCTACTCGATCAATATCAGTCTGTCTCGGCGTGCTGTCTGTATCGACATGCTTCGTCTACTCAACGAAGAGTTTGCCGCCTATCGACTGCTGGCGGACTCAACATGGATGAAGCTAGCACATACGTCATTATCCTGGGAGATGGCAGAGTCTGTCGAGTACCTCTTGGATCACATCCCAGCAAGCCTTACATCACGCGGATGGAGATACTATATTCGAGATAGTTACATCAATGGAAATGTCGACACACTCAAGGTTATCTTCTACATCCCAATGTTATTGTAGCAAGCAGAGTGATCGAAGCAAGGAGTTTGGAGCAAGCCATCCGCAGTGGAAAGGTACAAATCATCAAGTACCTCTTTGACAACCATTTGGACCTCATTAGCGACGCCCTTTCAACACCACAAAGTTGATTGAGAGAGCAATGTACGGTGGACATCATGACATGATCCATATGCTGCTGGATGAGATGACACACAACACCAACCTCAAGGTAGCCAAGCAACATATACGCGTAGTGGACTCGTACAAAGTACCATTGTCAGTGTTCAAGCGAGTGGCCAATTACCCGATTGTTGAATGTAACGGCATACATCCATTCGAGCGTGCACCAACACCCGACATCAACAGACTGCCTCCAACTGTCACGTGTGACAATCTCAGCGAAAGGACAGGCGTTGATGAGTCCACCTTATTTGTCACGATGTCACACGAGATGAGCATGCTCATTGCCATCCAGACACACCGACCGCAGCCCTTGAGCATACTCAGTGAACTGATTTTCAAGCTCAATGACCCAGCGAGCAAGGTGACCGTCGAAATTATCAAGACACTCATTATCAACAATCACTTTGATAGCGAGATTAAAGACAATCAGTGGGATTGTTCAATTATTGCTGCTGGTCATTCACTGGAGTTGATGCAACTGATCAGACAGAAGTTCGAGAGTGGCCCAGATGGTCAAGTGACATATACACATTTGGTCATTTAGAGGAGGCAATCGAAAAGGGCAATGTTGAGATCATCATCTATCTCTCCAAGCACCTCCCACCACAAACCGATGATGACGACGATTAAATGCAATCTTCCATCGATGGCGCGTTTAAGAGTGGCACATTGGATACAGTTCGAGCAATCTTTGACCATTTGGCCGAGTTCTCCGAAGAGCCTTTGCATTCATTCAACAGTTTGGAGCACGCCATCAACAACTCTCTCGAAGTGTTTGAGTTTGTACTCAACAGACTGATCGACAACAAGGTGTGTGACCCATTATTGGTGGACAGAACATTGTGGATTGCTTGCCAGGAGAACAAGATATCAGTGATCAAGATACTKGTTGATCCAAAGATTGGTGGAGTTGTGAGTCTGGAACATTWCGATATTGCAACAAARACCAACTCATATCARGTGCTTGAGTACCTTCTCAAGACRTGGCCATCATCACCATTCATCATCAACATGACCAATGGACAACGACTTCGAACGATCAACACTGTACTCAACATTGCCTATGATCGTGGATTCATCCGAATCATCAACCTGTGTCACTCAATCATCAAGGACATCAACTCGAGCAAGAAGAGGTATGTTCATTCAATCACACTCACTCAAACAATCGATCTATCAATCAACACAGGAAACAACCAGATGCTGGATTGGATGATCGGACTCAATCAGAATTGGATAGTGTTGACAAGATGGACTTGATCATTCCAACATCAACATCAACATCATCATCATCACGAATGTCAACAACATTCCACATGGTGTTCAGAGACAGACGATTGGGCATGATCATCATGAGAATGATTGGTGACTTGTACAGGACATCATTTGGATTGGTTGATGGTCAACTGATCAAAGGCAAACAACTGGTGGACAGTGACACATTGGTGGACTTTATCAAGTATGGTGCCAATGAATGGTTCATCAAATCGTTCAACTCTGTGGCCAACCTATATCCATTCAACTCTCAACTGATCAGTTACGCCATCATATATACCAACACTCATATCCTCGACAAGCTCGTGACCAACACCAACATGACATTTGCAATCGGCGCATCTCTTCCAGACATGTTGAGGAACTATTTGGATATCCAAATGGTCCTCACCGACATGGTGATGGTTGGAATCATTGTGTTGATGTGCTAAAGGCGAATATGGGTCGATCAACACTGGCAATCAACATGAAAAATCAAGCCAGCGGTAGAGAAGAATAACAAGATGATCAAGCTATTTACTGGTGAGGATAAGATGCCGCTCCTTAAAGACATGATGGATTACAACAGGTTGGGAAGATCATTCACACAGATAAAACATAATATCGATCAGATGATTGTCTCAGCCACCAAAAATGTCGGAGTTGCTCCACCAAAAATGTCAGAGTTCCTCGCCAAAGTTGAGCGCCATAGGTCCGATCTGTTCAAAAACCCAGAATATATAGCAACAACGGTTCTATGTTGTGGCGGTAGTGGTGATCAAAGAGAGCTCGACCTCATTCTCAGCTATGTACCTGCCAGCACGCTGCCACCAAACATGGTCTCTTTTGCATACTTGGAATAAATCCGCAATGGACATCTTGACATGGCAAAGCGACTGATTTCAATCTTCACCAACGATCTGCCCGATTTTCCATTTGATCCACGTATGGTATTGGGCAATGAACTGAAGCTAGGACACCTGACTCAGGCAATGTTCATTTATGATATGCCCATCTATGTTCCCAATACCGACCCCATCGTCTGTGATATCCACCCGAGCATCCTATCAGTTGGCCTCCTGCGACGATTGGTGGCACACCCAAACATCAACTGTACATTTGAATCAGTGATGGCAAGTGCCATACTCAATGGCGACAGGGACTGCATTGACCTGCTTGAACTCAACCAATACGGCATGTTCAAGACTAACTACCAATTTGCATTGGAGGCATCGGCAAGGGTTGGCGACGATGTCACTGCCGACATGATCATGACCAAACATCCTGATGATTGTTTGCCTCTCGAGCAAGTTGATTTCGATAGTTCCCCTCCCAATGAACCATATTGGCATTTACCAGTCCAAAGAAAGACACGTGAGGCTGACTTATGGTCTCGTGTTGAACCATCTGGTTGGACTTGTGATGGCACGACACATTGCATTTGGCGACATTGACAACTTTGACATTGACACTCTGAACAACATCATGGAATCGACATGTTGTCCACAGACCAAGATGACGGATGAAGTTGTCCATGCATTCGTCAAGAGTTGGCTGCCCCCACAACAACCTTACCACGATCAAGACATCAGCATGATTGTGAAACATGCAGCATCACACTCACACTCACTCATCAAGCTGATGCACACAATCTTCATCGAAGCCAATCACAGATTGTTGTTCACTCGAGCGATGCCTCAATGCGCCAATCGTGGTGACACTCAATCAATCAAGTTCATTCTTGATATCGCTCAAGACGCTGCCACAACCACTGGAAATAGTCCACTAAATCTCAATCTTGATGTTCTGACCGATTTCAAGACTAACAGGATCACCGATGTTGAAGTGATGGCCATGCTCATGGACACTGGAATCATTCAGAACACTCAACAATACCATCCAATCATTGTTGGTGTGTTGGATCATGCTTGCTCCAATGGACTTGTGGACATGATGACATTCATTCACGAACGTTTAACAGATGTTAAACTGGTCCCATCCCTTCATTCAATGGAGGATGCTGTCATGGCCAACCATCTCAATGTGATCGTCTATCTCTTTGGTGATCAATCATCAACAATGTGGCGAGCAATGTCACAACATCCAACTCATGTCATCCGATTACTGATACAACTTCGACACACAGCATTCATTGATGGACATGTCAAGATGATCACATGGATCACCAACCGAATCAATCAACTCAAACTTGAACGAAGTTCAACCCATAAATAAACTAGTTAATGTGGTTCATTCTTTCACCAAGAACACACACGCTCACTCATCATTCATTAATCCACATTCAAATGAACAAATGAATAATAACAAGATAGTTATACATAGAGTGTTCAGTGATACATCATTGTGTCAATTGATATTCAAGCATGTTAGTAATATTCATCAAGCACAAGTTATCATCTTCATTGAAGGATATGACAAAAGATTCAAAGAAGACACAACGACACAAACGATCAAATTAATACAGTCAGTGATCAAAGGCAAAGAGCTACTAGACAGAGGTGATCTCAAACAGATGCTAAAGTACAACGCAACACAATACTTCATCACAGAGTATGATCGAGTTGCACCGACATACCCTCCCAACATCAAATTGCTCACACATTCAATCAAGTACAACAATCAACGAGTATTTGATCATTTGTTACACAACACAAACATGTCGATACCGATGAAGTGCGATGAGTGTTACTCAGATGATGACAAATACATTGATGTGATCACCGCGGTTGTCACAGGTGGCAACATGTACATGCTTCAGACCTACTTGGACATGACTGGTCATGGCATCATCAGAGGTCTCACACCCCGTCAACTGGTGATCGCCATCAATCACAACAACGAACACTTTGTTCGGCTGTTGCTTCAACATTCAATCTTGGAGGAATTCCAGTTCAACTCTAGATCGCTCATGTATCTTCTAACTCGACCCTGCGTCCGCATCAACATGCTCCGTCTACTCAACGAGGAGTTTGGCACCTACCGACTGCTGGACGACCCAACCATTTGGTTGACGTTGACAGAGAAATCAGTCGTCTGCAATATGGCCCAGAATGTTCAATACCTCTTGGATCACATCCCAACGAGTCTTTCAGATTCATCTGAATGGAGTAGTTATATTCAAAAGTGTTACTGCCATGAAAACCTAGACACGCTCAAGGTTATCCTTGAACATCCGGGTGTGAATGGAGCAAGTAGAGTGATCGACACAAGGAGTTTGGAGGAAGCCATGCGCTCCGGACAGGCACACATCATGAAGTACCTCATCGACAGTCACATGGACATTGTAAGTGACGCACTATCAAAATCGATGACATTGGTGGAGATGGCGATGAACTATGGACAATTTGACATGGTCGATCTGTTGCTGGACCAGATTACGCACAACACCAATGCCAAGTTTGCCAAGCAATATGTGAATCACTTGAAGGCATCCAAAGTTCCATTGTCCGTGTTCAAGCGTATTGCCTCACACCCAAATATCAAGTTGGTTGCTGCTAAGGTTCTGCAGGGGATAGTCAAGGTTACGCAGAGAATTCATTTTTCAGCGGTCTCAATCCTTGGGTTCGAGCTGGTTCGACCCTGGACAACCCTTGGAACAGCAAGGGGAACCCTTTCAAACCTTATCTGATGTTAATTAAATATTTATATTTTTATTGTTGTTGTTGTAGTTGTTGTTGTGGTTGTTGTTGTTGTTGTATGATAAATTAGACCTTAAAGAAATCGTCGTCTCGTCCAAAGGAGTGGAACATATTGGTCAAATATGCGATAATTGTCCAGAGTGCGTTGTGTCGTTGAATGTTGTCAGAAAGGTCGCCAAGTGATCTGATTGTGTCTGACAATATGTTCCATTTCTTCATCTCTCCAAAGACATTCTCAATGATGATCCTCACCTTCTTGATTCGATTGCTCTCATCTTTCTCTCTCAGGATACGCTCGGCATCGAATCCTTCTTTGGTGACCTTGGCTTCCAATGCCTTCAACTTCTTAGATACCTTGGTCGCCTCCTTTCCTTGACGCAGGCGATGCTCATCGAGCGTGCGTTTTCTGATCATCTTGTCTGTGTACTCCATATGATCGATCAATGAAGCCGACTTGATCTTGGGGGTGATGGTGTTGGTGTAGTACTTCTGACCTCCTTTGAATCCTTTGTCACCGAGAATGACAATATCTTCATCGAACAGAGCCTGTAGTCTAGGTGCAGCATCCTTGTAGAGCGAGACGTCAGGCTGGGCGCCTCCCTCTGTCTTACCTACATACACGATCTTGCCACGTATATCGCAAATGACCAACACTGCCAAAGAATACATTGATTTCTTGCCAGAATAAACAAGATCCTTGATCGTCTTGTGTGGCGGCACTTGAATCCTCTGCTCTGACCCGTCCACAATGAGATGAACATTGTGCTTAATACCTTCTTTCCATATTTCTGCATGATTGTCTCGAAGCTCTCCATTGTGAACCACATCCTGGAAGTACCCATGGCAGTACGACTTCAATCTATCGAACACCTTGGTGAATG